GATAGCAAGTCCAACGTCAAGATCGGCTTCTTCCCTTCATACGCCGGTTCCCCAGCAGCGAAAATATATCGTATCCCTACCCCGTTCGAAATGAGCTTCTCCTCGGCGTACTTCATTGCGATCTGATAGGATTTCACACATATGACTATGCGCGACACTTCTTGAGCCAGTTGTTCCCGGATATTGTAAGAACAAACCCATACCCTTTTCTTGCAGCAGAGTGGGTAGAGATGGTTGCTGATATGGTTTCAGGGGTTTATCTACCACGCCCAAATGGTGTAGAATTTCAAGGAAGATGGTTTCGGTCGGCGCGTTTCCAATAGGTATCGACCCAGACAAATTCTCCGAAGGATTGAAGAAGGAGAAAGTACAAAAGCGAATTGCTCAGCTGGAGCAAAAGTTTCAAGGCGTCAAGTTGATGGTGGGTGTCGACAGACTGGATTACATCAAAGGCGTACCACAAAAACTGCATGCTCTTGAGGTATTTTTAACAGATCATCCAGAGTGGATTGGCAAGGTTGTGCTTGTCCAGGTTGCCGTTCCGAGCAGACAAGACGTTGAAGAATATCAGAACTTGAGGGCAGTCGTTAACGAGTTGGTTGGGAGGATCAATGGGAAGTTTGGTTCGTGCCCGCCCAGGTTCCCCCTATCCTCACGTTACGGGCATGGAATTAACACACGGGCTTTAGGCACGGTGGAATTTATGCCGATTCACTTCATGCATAAATCCGTCAACTTTGATGAACTTATTGCGCTGTACGCAGTCTCGGATGCTTGCATCGTTTCATCCACCAGAGACGGCATGAATCTTGTGTCGTACGAGTACATTGCAACACAGCACAAGCGTCACGGTGTCCTGGTCCTCTCTGATTTGCCGGTGCCGCGCAAAGTCTTAACGGGAGTATTATCGTAAACCCCTGGAACACCGAAGAATTGGCAGCTGCCTACCAAGAAGCTGTTACGATGAACGATGAGCAAAGAGCGCTTAACTATTCGAAGTTGGAGAAATATGTGCACAAATTTACTAGGTATGACCTTATTGCCTCGCTTATTACATGAGTTAAACCACAACTAATGATTGATTTCTAGCGCATTCTGGGGCCAATCATTCGTCTCCGAATTGACCAGAATATCCGCACACGGAGAGAAGAAGCTTCTTCTCAGGCGATCATCTTTAGCAGCCAACGCGGCTGAAGTCGCCATCAACGGTGATGCAGACCTGTAGTGGCCTCGTGTATCCACTTGTCTCCCTCCGAAAAGTCTCGCATATTTTGGCATGAGGGTATGAGCCATGATGGGTTTTTCTGGTGTTATGTGCCTATGGTTATTTAGATTGCTTTTAAATTTACGAGGAGCGGTTAGCATTGTGAACAGGAAAGGGAGGAGAAGCTTCTTTGTATACCACTGATAAAACCACATATCATCTGCTGTTGGAGTTTTTGGAGCGATCACGGCGAGCATGCATTTGACTTCCCCAAGAGGGTTGCATGCCCTGGGACTTAATACTTCTATTCTATTGTTTCTAACTTCATTGCAAAAGAGCAAAGTTATTCCAGGCATCTTATAAATATTCCTTATCTTTGCACAACAGGTGTTTATCTAGATGGACATGTTTGCCTTGTTTGCAACCCGGCAGATCTTTGTTCCGACAGCCCGAATAGTCCTGCTTATGTAACTAATTCCACGTGATACTGAAATTCTTCGCTGCATCAATTCGAGCTGCACGATCGATTGGGAGGGATCTCGATCGATTAACCGCAATTGACTGCTTCAGCGCCAATAACGGGAAGACTGTTACCTCGGAGATGCCAAAGTGACCACAAACGGACTTGCGGAGAATTGGATCAACGAGCCAAGTGAAAAACGTTGACTAGAAATCCGCTTCGCGCACCGGACTCCATCGAACGACAGACCAGATATCGCGAGGAGCTTTCGTTTTCAAAACCGTTCTCCCCTTAGCCGGAGGATAATACAAAAGCTCCTCCCAAAATGAATACCAGAGCATTACTCCGCTTATCGCGGCCTTCCATCCTACCCGTCCCATCCCCGCTCCTCGCAACAGCATGTCTGAGCAGCAGAATACCACAATACTTTAACATCCCACGACTCAATGCGTCTTTAACGACAGATGCCTCCTCAACCTCCTCCCCCTCCTCCTCATCCGCGCCCTCCTCTTCCAATCCACCACCATCCACCGCAAACCAACAACCACCAATCCCACCCACCGTCACCGCCCCCTCCTTCAGCCCCAAACCAACCTCCCACAAACTCGGCACCGTCATCTCCGCCGGCAAAATGGACAAGGTCGTCACCGTCCTCTACACCGACCGCGTCTGGGACAAGCACGTCCGCAAATACTGGCCGAAGAAGACGACCTTCCGCGTCTGCGATCCGCGCAACTCTTTGCGCGAAGGCGACGTGATCGAGTTCTCGTCCGGCTACCGATCAAGCAAGACCGTGCGCCACGTGGTGGAGAAGATTATATCGCCGTTTGGTGTGCGGATCGACGAGCGGCCGCCCATCATGAGCCCCCAGGAGAGGGCGGAGGAGAAGATATTGAATAGTAAGACGGGGAACAAGGTCCAGCGGTTGGGAAAGATTAAGATGAGGGTTCTGCAGAGGCTGGCGGATGAGGGGATGGTTCCTGAGGATACTGCTGAGAAAATTAGAGCGGAGGTTAAGATGAGTCTGGAAACTTGGAAACGGTCTCGGAAAAATCAGGTGAAGAGAACTGATGAGGAGTTGAAGAGGTTGGAAGAGCTGAAATGGGAGCCTGTGAGGGCTTAATCCAAGGATGTTTTCATTTCTTTTTTGCCTAGACGCCAGGCAGCGGAGACAGGGAGCGATCGTTGGTGCCTTTGTATATTAGACAAAATCAAAGCATTGTGTTTCTTTTGCGGTAAACTGTCTATATATGCCCATTTTCTGTTAAATCTGGAAGCTTTCCGGATTAAACGTCCATAACAAGTGGAAAGTGATGTCTCCATCGGAGTCTTCTAAATAGTATATTCCGAAACTAGCCTATGGCAGATTGTTCAACAACCCATCACAGGGTAAGACACAGCGTTAAGCCATGGATACAACCATGAAATGGACAGATAACAGTAAGGGACAAAAGAGAATTTAAAACCATCAGACTGCTCCAATATGATACAATATTCACCGAATCCCAAATGGAGCCGGGTCCGGTCATTCCCCAACAATCAACTCCATTCACGAGTCGAGTCGTAACACCGTAAAATGCCTGTAAAATGCCTTCCCAAACGTACGAGAACGAATCGATACTCCTAAGATCAGGCTTCAGTAGGAGGAGCTCAATTGCTCGCACCCGCTCCCCGAGCCCATACTCCCTACAAACGGTCTAAGATCCACGCTCGCCAAAATCTTGTGCCCAGTTTTCATAAAGGCTTAACCGTTCGCGGCTAACACTAGGCCTGATCGAGTCAAGGGACGCTTCAAAATCTCTGAAGCGGATCGGACATATTTCATCCATGGACGTGTCGAGAAGCGCTTCCCCAAGTTTTCGGAGAGGCCCCATAGCAGCGTCTTTTGCGAGCGCTGTAATATCGGAGCCGGAGAACCCTAGATCAGCATGTTAGTGATCCCAATCTGAGATATGGTTCTAAGAAGAGAAGATGCAAGGAACCTTACCATCAGTAGCCTTGACCAAAATATCAAATTCTTCTTCCGATAAGTCATGCTGTTGATGGCTGAGCAGCTTTTGAATTTGCAGTTTTCGCACATCATCTTCTGGCAAAGGGATATATTGTCTGCGAGCGAATCTACGTCGAGCAGCCTCATCAATATCCCATGGCATATTGGTTGCACCAAGCACCAAAACTCTCGTTGCATCACCTTTGGGATTCTCTTTGTTTGTCTGTTCCCGGCCGGCAGCAGCACGCTGAAGATCAGACCATTCGATGAGAAACTGCGTTTTCGAACGGCGAGTAGCATCATGGTCACCAGATGCGCGAGACGCGAGGAGAGAATCAATCTCGTCCACAAATATGATTGACGGCGCCATGGCTTTTGCTAAAGCGAATAGAGTCCGCACAAGTTTCTCGCTCTCTCCATGCCACTTGGATGTCAAGCTCGTAGCTGATATTGAGAAGAATGTCGACTTTGACTCCGTAGCCACTGCTCTTGCAAGCATGGTTTTCCCAGTTCCAGGGGGGCCGAAAAGTAACATTCCTCTCGTGGGCTCTCGGAGACCCATAAACAGATCTGGTCGAAGGAAGGGATAAACAACAGCTTCTTTCAAAGCTTTCTTTGCAATTTCCAACCCAGCAATGTCATCCCAGTGCACCTCATCGCCCCGGACAACAATCTCATTTAAGATTTGGCCGGCAGCATCGCGATCGACACCTTTAGGAAGATTGTTTAAAATGTCGCCGAGCCCATCATCTTCCTCCATATCCTCGACGAACGGGTCCTCCTCGTCATCGGCAACCGGTTGGATTCCAGCCCCAGACATTCTCGATGATGGCCTTGATTGATCCTTCTCCAAATGTGTAGCTAGACCTCTACCAGAACTAGAGCGCCTATCTTTAATGTTCGGTCTCTCAGATCTGTCACCACTACCTGTGGCGCTGGGCCTACATGCTTGCTCGCTCCTTTTCTTAGAAGAGGTAGGATTGGAGGGCGGGCCTCTTCCGGGGGTTCGTGGTTGTTTAGGTGATGTTCTCGGGCTGTGAACATGCCTTTGAGATGCGGACATCGTCTTTTTATCTTGAGTTGTAGGGACGGATGCTGGTGTGTGTCTGGATTCAGGGTACTCTTTTCGATAGGTCGGGTACGCAGCAGCAGGGGCAGCAGATTTCGACATAGGCGAACGTTTCGCGTAAGGGCTATCTTTTGTATCCAGATTCCGGTCCCATGTTTGAGAGGCATTTAAGTTCTCGGCCGTCGACTCAACATTTGTGGGCCGACGGGTAGCGGCCGCCGCAGCGCCTGAGGCAAAGTCAACAGCAGAAACTGACGGTTTCTTCGAATGGGACTCTGATCGCGGACTCGATTCAGCCCATTTCCTACTAGCGAATTCACTCGCAGGTGAGGTGTGGGTCATGGTAGGCGCCGATGGCCGGGCATGCGAGGAATTCCATGCTAGATCTGCCGCTTTAGAGGCAGCTGGCCGAGATATGTGAAGCGAGCCACTCCTGTTCTCAGGCGAAGATTTCTTGTCTTTACTTCCTCTCAATGTCGGCAAAAGCGTTTTCTTTTTCTCAGAACTCGTGGTCCTCGAGATTGTTGGTAGGGTCGAGGTACTATGCCCTTGGTTTGTGTCGCGAGGTTGGATTCGAGGAGGTAAACTTGGTCGTGGAAGGTCTGGATAACCTAGGGACGGAATCGTCCCATCCCCAATCCAACCTGTATTCGCAAAAATGCCGCTGTTCGACCCTGCGTTCGCATTATGTCCTCCAGTGTCATATCTGCCCCCCAATTCCAATGCGTTCAATCCCGTTTCTAATCCAGCTGTCCTTCGGCTCTCTCGTAGAGCTTCAAGCAGGTCTATACGCTCTTTACACTGCAGTTCTAGTTCCTGTATCGACTTTTGTAGGGCGCGCTCCGTTTCATTCTGCGGAACGTAGCTTGATGATACCGAAGCATTGTGGCGGCATATGGTTTCAAGGGCGTCTCTCCATGACCGCAGGGCCTCTTCTTCATTATTCTGTAGATAAAACGACAAGTGAGCGAAATAGCCACATAACTGCTGGATTAACATCCAACAAAATGCATATCAAAACGCATATGATTAAGGAGGAATGAAGCAAAGCAAAACCCAGCCGGGAATGATAAGCAACAGCCTCGAGGACATGCCATGTGAACGTACCTTTGATTCAAAATACACAGCAGTCGAGCATGTCAAATAGCAATCATCATACGTCTTCTGCATCAACGTACCAGGACTCGGGCGTAACATCATAACGTGGCGATATTGAGAGGATTCAAGATGCCTCCATCTGAAGACTGAGGGACGATTCTGCGTAAACTCGTCCGCAATGAAAAAGGGGACAAAAGGGACAGCAGGGCGGAAAGTGCAATCTAGCCCTTCAATCCAGACATCGGCAAAAGCGACCGAGAGAACTCTATGAACTTTTTTCCCCTTCGCTTTTTGCACGCTCCGCTCTTCTTTTGCGATGGGCGGCGGGATTTCGTCGTTTCTCGGCGGAGGATCTATGGTTCGAGTGGCTCCTGTTCCAAACGGCCGTCGTCTCTTGTGTCCACTCTGCCGCCGCGATGGAGGAAAGCCTAATGGGTCGTCGATGTCGCGGGCGGTATGGCCGCAGAGTTCATCATAGCCACAGATGGCCTGCGCGTGCAGTGGTGGAGATGCTCGAGGATTGACGGCGGATTCCTAGGCGATGGTCGATGACGTCGGATATGCTTCTGGAGATATGAGTGTCTCAGCACACTCCCCTGCAGGCGGTTGATTCGAGGAGCATGCCATCAAATTGATTCCGCAATATGAACATGGTTGAGAGCGGCAGTTTCGAGTGATGGTGCTCCAGGCACATGGTACTCTGGATTCCTGAATGGCATTGTGTCTCTTCCCACTCAGACTGTCCAGTTGCTCACGCGAGCTCTATATATGGACACGCTCGAATTGCTGGAATTGTCCTTTTGCCGTCGTTATAAATCGTTATAAATACCCTTCTTGATTTTGTCCACTAGGTTTGTTAGGCATTCAACGTGATTCTTTCATCGTCTGTTGAGAAGGTCGGCAGTACAGGGTTGTCTTTCATCTGCGTTTGATACCCTTTTCGATCCGCTTTAGCCGCATGAAAATCTCCTAGGTCGAGAGCCATCAAACGAGGGCATCGAAGAGCTACACATCGCTCGTGTGATTGAGCGACAACATCAACTTAACGCTGTCGCTCCTGCTGAGTGCCTATCACTCTCATGACATGCCGCCTACAAATACTTCTGCTCGGTATCCGAGAACCGTTATATACATTCCCGTTCCCGGTGAATGAGAGCGTCCATCCAGCCCCTCCAAATAGTGTTAACGTCCCAGAACCGAAGCCAGGAGAATCATATATGTTACCAAGGGTCAATTCGTGGCTTGGGAAGGGCCGCCATGGTCGAACGGTTTGCCATCAGGGATAGTGATCAGGACGCAACTTTCAAACCCTTACAGTCCCATTTTGGAGAGAGATCGCTGCAGAAATATGTGTCTTGAGGCCCGAGTCTATCAGAGGATCGGTAAACACCCTCGTTTCACAAATTTGGTCAACTGGGACGCAGACCCATGCTGTCTTGCAATGGAGTATCTGGAGAATGGAAACATTCAGGACCGCATACGGCAGAATGATAAAAACATAACTTCTCAGCTACGTCCCATCTAAACTGTGGACTAATCATTATGCGATGCTGGCACATCGTGTTGTAGTGGCGAGGCCACACATTTTGGGATACGCAATTGTTTATAGCCAGGTAGATAATCAAGCCATTTCATTTAGACGTAGTCGATACTATTTCTCCGCAACGGTGTTCTATAGTGACGAGATGTTTATACATTGATAATGCTATTAACAAGTAATCTCGTGTATCATCTGGCCACGGACTACAGAGCATGCGAGCTAGTTCTATTTGGACCACAACGATCCCGCTAGCAGGCAACTAGCTGATAGAACTGCAGCGGAAGACATACATAATAGCGGCTATCGTCACTAGGGCTTTCCCCCCTAAAAAAAATAGTGCCCAATAATCCCCGTAACTGTTACATTGAATCGAATATGCACGGGTTGATTTCGCCCGCCAAAAAGGCTCCCTCCCCAAGGCAAAAGGGTCAAAGCCAAAAGCCCACAGCATTAGCAAGATGGGTGCGTTTATGTGCTTGTTTAGGAAAAGCGAGAATTGCGCTCAACCGTTGCTATGTAATTTCCCATGACAGAGCAGGGTAGAATGTGCTCTGCTTCACACGAAAAAAGAAACCCATACCACGAGACGCCCGACCAAAGCTATCGAGGAAAAACGACAAATTTGAAAATGAAAAGCCACAGAGATCTAAGCCCAGGGAAAAACCGTCCATACTTTTTCGTCCAACTAATAAGGATAAGAAATCCGCCGCATAATTAAAAAGGAATAATCGAATGCACATGTTCGATCTATATCATGTGCGTAATCGAAGAACAGTGCTGAAACGCGTGGGTATCTACCGACGTCTAGGAAGAGTGCTCGCCGTAGTGTCGCTTGAAATACGCCTTCGCCATCTCATACGAGGACCTAAATGACATCAGCATAGCCCAATACAAGGACGCCGGAATTCGCTTGAGAAAGCCCCAAGATTCGCTCTACCTACCAACAAATAGCGGTGCTTGGCATTGTGGCAATGATTCTTGGTCGCATTCCACGGATGAATCCGGACCATCCATACTGCTTTTTAATGAGCGCAGCGGCATTGAACAAGCCTCGGGCAGTTCGAGCTTCCTCGTCTGCTGCGTGGCCTCGAGTTTGGAGTACGGTTTTGATGACATCAAGGGGAGTTGTCACCGCAGCCGCAACTGCTCCAGCTAACGCGCCAGCAACGCAGTGCGTGAGCGGATCGTACTTCTTGGATGGGTTCATGATCTTCGACGTGGATTCGTATGCGATGAATTGCGTCGCTGTGAATGGTATCGTCATGCACAATGTTGTTGGGTAAGATACGTAAAAAGCACGCATTCCTTCTGCACGGTAAACAGTTCTGGCGCATTCCCAGATAGTCCTGTGCGTAGAACCATGTACTTGCATCCGTTGTTTGATGACTGCGGGTTCTCGTCAGCATTCTGGTGGAAGCAATTGGTGCAAGAAGGCGTTGCTTACGTCAAAGGGATTCATCAACGCATCGCTTGTAATAGTCGCACATGCTCCGCTCAAGCCTGACCCCATTCCATTAAATTCTGCTTCCATGTAGATTCGCCTAATTGTGAAATACGGGCCATCCTCACCTGCTGCCAATGGGTGATGACCTTGCCCAACATTACCTCCCGCAAACTCCTTGACTACCTCATAGGTACCGAAGTAAACAGCATGCGCAGGCCCTGTCATTCACAAACAGTCAGTACTAGCCGGTTCATCGTATCGCGCCGGCTGAGGAAGCATCATACCAGCACCAACAATGACACTGGATACCCCTCTCCATAATGTCCGCCAACCTTCAACCCGCGAAATCGTAGTAAACGCATTACTAAGGCCCGTGTATAGTCCACCGGCGGAAGGATTCAAAACCTGCATGCGGGTCTGCGAGCAAAAATAACATCGTTAGTCCAGCCGGGAATGGCTTCGAGATTTCCGCCAACGATGTGGCGTGATTGGAATTTATCTCACCTTGAGAAGGTCGACTGGGTACATAACAGAGTGCTCCTAGATGGAAATTGCCATCAGCTTTCCGATATTATCCAAAATTTTTCCGACGGTTCGACGGGACGGAAGGGCGCGAAAACCGCAAGTCATACCGCGATACCAGCGAAAGCTCCCGCAATCATATTATGCGCAAGAGTGTAGTCCGAAGGAAGCGCTTCATATCTAAGGGATGAATCAGCAACCGAGTGCACATATTCCCTTTGTTTTCGGAGGGAATATGCTTCGTAAGAGAAGCTCTTGTTGGAATGAAGGACGTACTCGTATTCCTCCCCGGGTACACGGTCTGGAGAGGCCATTTAACGCTGATTTTTTGCAGCCGGAGCTGCGTGGTAGTCTGGTGGTACTTCGCGCCGGAGCGGCCTGCAAATTCCAAGCTGTGGGAAGGCTCAAAGCTGTGTGCAGCGGGAAGGGTAATTTCTGAATGGGCGTGCGAAAAGAAGGAAGAGACAGGGAAAAAAAGAGCACAAAGTGGAAATAGCAAAAAGCGCCAATGGACAATAGCAAGTAAGTATCGACACAGAGAGCCTTGTCAAGTGGGAGGTCAGAGGACAGGAATATATAGACAAGTTGGTTTGGGAGAAAGCGAAGGCCGGAGTTTCTCTCAGCTGAATTGGGGAAGTTTTTCTCCTTCAAAGCGTTGATGGCTCGGCGCGAGCAGCGATTTTTGACTAATAACCAGGTCGCAAACTAGTGAGCTTGCGCCCATGAACAAACCAACCCAGTCTATTATCTAGTGCCAAGCTGCTTTCTGCATGCAATTGCTTTGTTGCTGCTGCTCTTTTATCTGGCCTGGTTCTCCAGCTATATACTCTGTACATCCGTCGATTTCTACTGATCTCTGTCCTCACAGCAATGGCAGGCCAACTGTCTCAGCAGCACTCCCGTCCGGCTCACTCATCCTGAAACCAGTCTGTCGCCAATTGGCCGCCTCTTTCAGACACTGAAGAGAGACAGGCCATTGACCGGTCAAACCGGAGACAATCCTCCCACATCCAAAGAAATATCCCCATTCGACAACAAAAGTTTTGCAGCCCCAGTGAAGACACAAATTCCCACTCAGCACCAACCATGGGAGTACCCTCCAACGCGAATCCCGAACGCCTATTTGATTTCCAGCAAAAAACGAACACCTCAGCTTCTCACAGGAAGTCAAAGCGTCTCCGATACGACGCTGCCAAGGCGTATACCCTCTCACCCAATGCCGTTGCCCCAGTCGATTCCACACGACTTTGTCCTGGGAGCCGGCACTCCCGAGAAACCAGTTTGTGTGTGGAAAAGGAGTCTTCCATGGTTAACAACGGCGGGAGGGAGACGCCAGTATTTTCATATTTATTTTTAATTATTTCCGTCGACTTCGCTGCGAAACCGCAAGTGCATCGATCAATAATGAGCCCTCTGCTTCGGAGCACAATCGGAGACCCACGTTACGTAGTTAGTTAACTAGTTAGCGAGCCCACGATCAGATAACGCCCCGTGGGTTTGCTCTGTAAATCTGCTAATTATTAATCCCCGATGCACAAAATTCACCCCTTATTAAACAAAGGCTGCCTGTCGGTGTTAAAGCAGGTCTCGGATTTATTCTTGCCCTTTCTCGTCGTGTCCAATCTCCGGGCTTGTTAGTGCAGATGCGATGATCTTATCTAATCCATCGGCCCTCCTCGGCTTTCCGCGACCGCCTCGGATCTGATAAGCAGCAACCTAAATCTCGGGACATGACATAATCATATGACAGCCAGTCATGACTACTATGAAAAATGCTCTATAGAGTAGAAAGAAAGACTGGGATTCTGTGGAAACACCGCTGGTCCTTTAAGCAATGCACTATTCATGAAACATAATATTGGTAAATGCAAATCACAAGGCCATTCGTGTCAATTCATCCCTGGAGATACAGAGAATAGACCTCTATCCGACTATCCTCCATAAAGAAACATTCAAAGATGAAGCAGAGACCAGTGAGGTTACATCAAGCCCATCACGAGCTAGATTGATAATAAATGCCATCACGACGGCAACGCTCTGTCCTTACGCCACGTCCTAAGCTAAAGTAAATTGCGACAGCCATGCTTGAAATCTGAAGTCTATGCCATTGAAATATCAACATTAAATGACCACTCTCCTGTTTATCGTGCAATCAGTAACAAGAACAAAGAAGGAAGTCGCACGGGGGTGAAAGAGTCCAAACCTACCAGCCTTCAAATTCTCAGCCGTATAGCCGAGCAAGACGCACCGTCTCCGATCGCAATACGCAGTCTTATCCAAAATATCGCGTTTCAAACCCGACAATTCTGAAACAGGCTTCTCAAACATTTCGCTCAGGCTTTCTACTGCCAACTCTAGATCCTTCTGGTTATCCTCAAACATTTCGGTCAAGTTGTTCCGTTCGAGATAAAAAGCAAATGCATATGTCCATTTGAGCGTCTGCCGGCACTCCTGGAGAGTTCGAGACGCCGTGTCGAGGAATTGGACCTCGATCCATGACATGCCTGACTGGGCTTGGAGATTCATCATCTTCTTCTCTGTCTTTAAATAGAGATCTTTGTCGAGCTTGGCTGACTGTTCGTGGTTTGCATATCGGTTGTAATAGTGAAGATATCTCTCAAGCGATCTTCGAGATTTCGCCTGAGCGTCACGCGCCTCGCTGCCGGATTTCTCTTCATAACGGCTGCAATTATACCAACTCGTGCCATGCTCGGACCACAGGCCCATACACATCCAGCAGAATTCGTGCTTGCACTTTCGGCAAGTCATATGGTTACACCCGCCATTCTTTTCTATCGTCGAATGACATTTGGGGCACTCCTTGGTGTTTGCTGATATCCAGTTCGCAGTTTCTGAATCGTCTTTGCACTTCTTCACCCACTTCTTAACAATAGCGCAGGGCGTTGGCTGGTGGTCGTTTAACGTGCAGCCGAAACAAAACGCATGGGTGCACGAGCATCGTACCGTCGGCACGATCCGGTCGAGCTCTCGAGTTTTCACAGCACAATTCACTGCATATTCGCAATTAGGGGCGGGACACCATTTGAGATCCGTCTTATCGTCAACATAAGTTCGTGTTAAAAGGATATGATACCTATTAAGTGATCGAAGCGTCAGCACTTGGTATTCATGGAGAGAGAAGTGACACCAAATAGCGACATACCTTTCTTTCAAGTCCTTAGTCACCAGCAACTCAAGCGATTTCGAATCGACAATCTGTTGGCACTGATCCTGCGGACACTGTATCCTAGCCGCTTCTCCTTCCTCCTTTATCTTCTGAGCCAGATAGTGGCGATAGCAATCAACGCAAAATCTATGGCCACACCGCATAGCATAGGTTTCCAAGTCATCCCCGTCCTCACAGCAAATGTCACATACGAAACCATCCACGACTTCTGTATTCGGCGATTCAGAGAAGTTCAATCCCAGCCCCGCCTCTTCGAGAATCTTATCAGGGTGATCCATGTACGATTCGATTATCCGTTCTCTATTCCACCGGCCGAACCGCAGCAAAATCGCCGCCGACTCTGGCGGGAGACCGAGTATAGAGGAAACTTCGTTGATCTGAACATTCTGCTCCCGCTGTATGTCATTTGGGCTTAAAACTGAAAAATCGACTTCATAAGGCTTTCGTGATTTGTTCATTAAATCCTTATCGTCGGTAAAGGAGGCACCCAAATCGGCGTCGAAATCTGTGTAGAGGGATCAAGCAAAGGGCATTAGCATTTGGTCTTGCAGTAAGATAGATTGTCATCGCTAGCCAAAACCAACCTTCACCTAGACTTTCATCATCGCTTTCTTGGGTATCAATGAAATCCATATCCTCCTCCAGCTGACTAGTTACGTCGCTCATAAAGTCATCGTCTGAATCCATGCTTGCGGGTGTTCCTATTACCACCGACTGTTCTTTCCCCTCTCTGAAATAGCATATAATGACCGGGGATTATTCCCTAGTTAGCTGTTCACGTTGGCTGTTGGCCGCAAATAGATTATTCGGTGTAGGGCTTTGAGTCGGCAGTGCAACGTTGACAGACGACTTGCGATCACTCCAAGACCAGTCTTGTAGCCTAGAGAGCCGTCTTAAAGAAGGGCGGTTTGCAGTGAATGACAGCGGGTGGTTTCCGTAAGTTAATGTTGGGTTGACAGTGAATGAATGGGTTGGTTGTCGGTGGAGGCAAAGGAAACAGCTTGAGAGCAAGAATTTTCGTCAAGGGCACGCAACGACTTTTGACGTGAACTGTTGACAACCTCCTGGCTTTCATGAATCTGGTGAAGGTGTTCAACAGCCAGATGTTGCTTGCTGGGAGGCGCAGAGACGATCAGAGTGGCTACCGATAAGCTGGTGGGGGCTGGAATTTAGATGGGCAGCTAACTAGCTGACTATGGCGTCAGGTCTCCTGACGGCGGTGGTCTTCAGGTCTGGGGTCTCATGATGGGATAACTGCACAAACACATACAGAAAACAGATCATTCTCAAGGTTTACATTGTTAGCAATCGTAGCTGCAGACTAAAGGTTCCCTTCTTATGGAGCGCCAGTGCGGATTGCAGGCAGCTAGATTACCATTTATTCATGGCCACCAAAAGCACAACTACAACCACAACAAGAACTGAGCATTTTAGCCAGGGCATTTGGGGTCTATGTCGCCATGGAGGTGTTTTAAATGGATGCACAAAAAGCTAGATGATGCTTGTTTGACAAGCCAATAGATACCTTTTGTTCCAAATCCTTTTTTTGTTTTCCTATGCATCACTTTCCTCTTCCTCCTCGTCGTCCTCGTCATCTTCATCTTCATCTTCACCAGATTCTTCATCTGACTCCTCATCATCACTGTCCTCAGCCATCAACCAGTCAATAAAGGGTTGTGTCTGCTGGCGGACTTTCTTCAATGCCTCAGTAGCAGTCGACCGCTCATCCTCCCACCACTGCTCAAATGCTTCGTCCTCCACAATTTCCAAGTCATAGAGCTCCTTTGCGGCGAACAAAAGGATAGTATCTCCCTTGTTCCGTTCGGCAAGGTCCTGCTGGAGCAAGAGTAATAAATCGACCTGGTCTGGCTTCTCATCATGATCCCGATCGAACACAATTCGAGCAAGGATCTCTTTGTATTTTGTAAGGAGTTGTTTGACGGCTTCCCCAGCACTTATGGAGCCTTCGTCAATCTGGCGCTGGGTATGTTTCATAAATGCGGTCACCACCGCTCGCCGTACTTGATGTTCCGATGCATTGGCGCTCATTCGTAATCCAACTAGTTCTAGTTGGACAACATCGGCACTCAACCCCTCTTTAAGACTGTCAACGATACTAACGACGGCATCGTGATGGAAATGTCCCCTCTCTTCATCGTCGGATACAGACGTGCCAAAACTGTCTGATCGTTGCCTTAACTCGGTCGATTCGTCCTCAGACAGCTCGGATGTAAGGGTAGAAATCGAAGCATCCGACAGAGAAAGCTCTGCCATGTTGTACACTTTGGAATAACGAAATTAGTAGTGGGAATTGCAAACTGGTTTTTCCAAAGAGAACACTTACAAAGTCCAGACATAGCAAATTCATCTTCACCTTCATCGTCATCTTCATCTTCAGAATCATGAACAAACTCATGACCTTTGCCCCCTTTCCCAAGCAGGGAAGAGTTGACTACTGCATCCTCTTGCTCTAACGTGGTTATCCTCATGCTTCTCGGAATCGAGACATCATTTCCGAGTTTTACGCCATATGAGAGCAGTACTCCAGGCTCAACTCGACACTTATTCCCGACAATTGCCCCATTTGCCACAATAGCATGTCGAATCTCGGTGCCGTCACCAATAACTACATCATCCCAAATGTTAGGCGCCATCCAATATGACATTGTTCCCAATGCGACACCGCCTACCAATCACGCTATCGGTAATGGAGGTCCCTTCGCCGATGTTTGTTTCCTTGCCTATGATCGTTCGCTGCTTCACTACCGCTGATCTCGATAGAACAACACCCTCTTCTTGATAAATGTTGCCCCGTCTCAATCTAAAGGAATCGCCAGGGAATAAATTCGCTTCGGGGCAAAGCGGGTATACCCACCTTGAAATATAATCTCGGCTGATTGAGTCATAGGCTTTGAGGTTCCGTACTCTGGCCGCATAATGACTTTTCACAATATGAGTGTGAATGGTCTTGCCATTCAACTCATAATCCTTCAAGACGCCGTAGAGAAAATGCTTCCTCGGGGCCTGGTAGTCAAAACTGTCGGCCCAAAGTCCCAGAACCTCGGGGGTGCAAATATCAATCCCACAATCGATCAAATCATTCCTGATATCAATTTCCGGGTGCGATTTCACGAGGTCTGAATCTATACTAACATAAGATGATTTGGTGCCAGTTTGATGTCGGCGTATTTCCTCATAATGTAAGCAGCGGTCGACTGTCGGATCAATGATAAATACAGGGGAAGTAGGTGAGGCTTTTGTTCGATGCGACGGTCCGGCTTCGCGTAGGATCATAGTCATAATAGCATTCTTGTCTGCTATCCTCCGGGCCCGATGCTGCGCCCAAACTCCTTCAATAGGCATGTTGCTGACCACATCTGCACTGACAAGGAGGAAATCGCCCGCAATAAGATGCTTGCCGTGTAAATCTCGCATGACGTCCCCAACAGACGTGGCCGTCGTTTTAAGGAGTTTGAGTTTCTGGAAAGGGGAGACAGGAGACCTCCATTTTGAAGCACTATCAACAGAAGCGTTAGCGATCTTTCCACGAGTAGCGCCTGCAGCCTGATACTCAGATGCGAACTTCCACATACTCAAGATGCTTTTCAACTAGATCGGAATCCGCGCTCGTGTATATAAAAACCTCCTCTATTCCCGCATTCAGCAAGAACTCAAGAGTGTGATCGATTAATAGCGTATTTCCAAGAGGTAAAAGGCACTACATTGCACGCAAGTTCCACGTCGGGCTCCGCACGTTAGCCAAATCTGTACATCACCCCGTTGACTTCACGGCAGCATCCGGGGAATGAAAGTACACACTCTTGGTTTCTCAAGCGTAAAAGGCTCGAACCGTGTTTCAAACGTGTCGGTTAGCAACTAGCGGCGGACCATTGGTTTAGCTTCGATCATAGAGAGACGATGACCATGGTCGAGGATAGGAGGCATACATACAACGGCCTGGAGTAGTTCCTCTCTGTCATCCGCTGACTTGAACCCCTGCAATGGATCAGTGCCTCCCCCGGCACGGCGGCCCTGCTTTGAACTCATTTCCCTGGTAGCTTATCAGTGTTGCGGGGTGGACAACTGATATTTCACCCCGCTCGCAAGCGTCGATGCTGAATGGAATTGGGCCGCAATTGAATGGAAAGCTGCTAGGGTCGTCGGTCTACCGGCTCAGGATAGGCTTCCATAGATTCGATTAGATTCAGGAGCCACAAGGCAAAGCAATCTGCCAATATCTCTATCAAAAGCCCTATGGCTCGAGTGACTCAAATGAATTTCTGGTGGGAGAGCGCTGAGTCAGAATTACTTGGTACTAAGCCACATGCGATCATCCGTCACCAGCCACGCGGGCTACAGGTCAGGTGGGAACGCTAAAATACGAGCCTCCTAAATTACATAATCATGCTTTTCCGCGTTGATCGGGCGCGGCGAGCTCCGAAGCAAGACGCGAATATCAACACTTTTAAAGCTCTGGCATGATCTGGATGGCATTATCAAGGTTCCTTGCCTCAGCGAGTCGCTCGTCCCAGCCTTATGGAAAACAAACTAGTTAACTATCGCCAAAAGAAGAAGGCCAACCACTACCACATTGGAACAATCCACTTTCCCACAAAAAATCCCCCAATTCTGATAGCATCTCGATCTTTTAACCAGGCCAACCTTGCCCTGCCAATCCTCAACTCGATCACCAAAAGAACAGGCCGTCCATTATCCAGGTTAAATTTAGGTCCCCTTCTACCCTGCCTCGTGGCGTTTCCCGCAACCATGGGGCATGGACAACGGGGGGCACAAAATCGTGAGGTCTAGACCACCAGCCGATTTTTCTTTTGAACTGATTCGCGAAAAAGTGCTATTTGCAGGCCCAGGGTGTTCCCAAGAAACCCTGATTCGGTTCTGGGCTTTTTCTTTTTGGAGGGTATGTGGTCTAGAACCGCTTTTTTGATCCTGGGAAATGGGTCTGGGTTTAGGGGGGGTGGACGCTGCTGCTTTTCTTTTTTGACTGAGCTTGCTGCAGGGCTTAACCATTTACCTACTCCGTACGGAGTATGTACAGGGAGACACGAAATGCAAGACAGGCGGCCTTGGGCCATGGCAAGCTGGGTATCATTCGCACATTGTCTCTCTTGATTTGCATGCAGGTGAAGCTAGGTATCAATGGAAATCCCGGCCTTGTAGCCAATACAAAGTACTCCGTAGACCCTCCAGCTACGACTTCAATGATAATGTTACTTTTTACAAACTCCATATCTTTCAGCGATCCTAGGAATACAAAATGGCATTGAAAGAGCAATTTGATCTGTAAAAAAGACGTTGGCGGGTATTTCGCCCTCCTTCTATACAAACCAGATCAATATCCAACTCCCAATCCCTTCCACCCATTATTCAACGGAGTATTTCAATGTCATTTTCAGTAAAACGCATCCTCAACCCGGCGCGACCGCCACCGTAATATCCCCGGGAACCCCCTTCCCTTCCCCAAGCCGATCGATTGTAGCACAAAAGAAGCACATACAAGACTCATACACCAAAAATGTGACAAGAGGATGGACCCAAGGTTCCCACAGTATCTGGAATAGAAAAGATATGGATGGTTAGAACCCAATCTCGGAGAAAATAATTTGCAAGACGACAGCCTCCCTCTCCATGCAAAAACAAAAAAAAAAACAAAGCCCTGCCCAACGTTGCTGTGTACAGTTTTCATTATTACCATGCAGATAGAAGCCGTCATGGGGAAGGTGAACAAAAAAAGAAAGCTTTCCAATCCACCCAATTCATCCCCTCCCAAGCGTGAATCGGGCTAATACTTATGAGTCTGATATGGAAAAGCACATGTACAAAATAATTCCACCTTCAATAGTCCACATTATTCAAACCTGGCACATTCCAAGAAATCGGGAACTAAGAAAGAGATGGGCCGTGAAAAGCGTTGATAAAACAGCCTTGGAAAAAAGTTCAGATCGCCACCAACGCCCTGGAGACTGAGAGCCAGTGTTTGAAAGGAAATAAAAAGAATTAATGCTGCTGTAGAAAGACAGAGCAAGGAACCCCCCGAGGCTTGTGGCATGTACCAAAAAGGACAATTATGTAGATGAGAATTATGCAATCGATTGAGAGCTGGATTCCGTAAGCTCCACTAGCAGGTACAATTAGTAAATTATTTTCGATCCCTCAGGGCATTCGACTGGTTTGCATTGGATTTACAACCGCGTTGTTGGCAAACATCCTTTGTCTCTTGGCGAGGTTGTGGGCGTCAGCTCCACTAGACATATCCGACACTTGTCGACGGTGCGAGGCCCGCGGGGCAGCTGCTGTGTTCATCTGTCCCATTTGATTCGCAGAATATTGTATACTGCCGTTTTGGTCCATGGTGAAAGGGCCTGCTGGAGGGCCTGCCTGTTGTGGGATGAATTGGTTTGGTATCGTCACATTGATGGGCGACACTCCTGGGAACTGCGCTGGTGATTGCCAGTTACCTATCGACGCGCCTGGTGATTGACCTGGGGTTGTTTCTTCTTTAACAGATTGGGTTGCGGAATTTTGAGGTATCGCCGAAGCAGGGGCAGATTGCGTCGCGTCAATGCCACTCGGGATACTTTTCAAGTGGACCAAATGTTTCTCTAACATGTTGAGGAGGCTTTGTCGAGTAAAGGGTTTCGGCAAAACATCATTCATTCCTGAAAACTCGTCAGTCACTTTCGGGTGGGAAAGGGGTTCGAATTCATATACCATTCTGGAAATATAGGTCGATATCGCTGCTGCGAATATTCGAAGTCATCGCGATAATTGGTGTTGCGTCGAACCTTCGAATTACACTGCATGCGGATACTCCATCGAGATTCGGCATGATGATGTCCATGAGGATAAGGTCATATTTCGACCCCGTCTGAATTTTGTTGACAGCCTCCAAACCATCGAACTAGAATAACGTCAGAACGGAGCTGGTGAACTAAAAGAAAGGAGCACGAACAGCAGTATCAATAACGCACGAAAAGGAATAAAGGAACTTTCCACCGATCTGACGGCATGTTTGATCATCCTCAACGAGGAGAATATGAGGACTTCGAATCCACCCCGGGTCTGCATACGTACTATTACCTGTACTCTTCTTCCTATCCGAAAACTGACGCCTTGGATCAGATTGGTCGTCCTTTGAGGGAATAGGGTATGGTATATTGTTCATTTGGTCTCCATATATTGGATCGATGCCGTTAGTAACGCCAACTGGATAGACAACCTGTTCGAGATCACCGTTGAGCCTTGGGAATGCCATGGTCGCGCCGGGGCCAGTCGAAGTGGGCGGTCGTGCGGCCCCATTTCGCTGAGTCTGATCCAGTGGTGGAGTTGGAACGGCTCCAGGGAGCCTGTTTTGCATATCGCCCATGGATTCTAAACTGTTCATATTAAATTGAATCTCGGAATTCATCTCGCTCAAGATTTTCATGGCACGCTGCAGAGGAGACGCTGGTTCATCACTCTGGGCTTGGGCAGGGCTTAGATCAGAACTTCCAGGCTGCCCTTGGAAAGCGGCCGCTGCCGCACGATTCTCCCTTCTCTGTCGCACATCCACGGATTGCAAAAAATTCATCATATAATGGATGATTTGTTCATGGCTCAAAATAGTCTTCTGGACCCTGCGAATCTCCTGCATCATAATCTGCTGATCAACAGAGAACTGCCCGAAACGATCAGCGAGATGCTGGAATTGTTGCTGCTGGGCGCCGAGCTGCTGGTTCATCAGATCGAGCTGATGCGTGGGTAAGGAGTCCTCGGCAGACTGGGCTGGCTTTCGTGGAGCAGGGGCCTTTCTTCTGATATTGTCTAACGAATCCTTGTTATCTGCTTTGAACTCTGGATGCTTGAACTCCCAGGCCTAGAACGCCCTATTAGCTTTCCGAAACTCAATGCCGAGCAATGCTATACAAAGACGTACGCCAGGGCCATAGGGCGATTGTCCAGTCTCCTCATTATTTTGGCGAACCTTGTGGAAGTCGTATTTATTAAGCTGCCGCACGAAACTCGCAAAATTGCTGTGTTTGAAATGCTTCGGGAGTATCGATTTCGTGAATTTTTCACACTGCGTCAAAGGATCGCAACAGGTCAATCATTCATCGACGTCAAACCAATACACCTTCCCGGGTTACTTACCTCCAAAACAACGAAACTATCTCTATCGTCACCCCATCTTACGATCTGCGCATAAGAAGGATCTTCGAGCATTCTAAAATTTTGAGTCAGACGGTATTTTATGGCAACAGAGGGGCGAAGGGTGTAAGGAAGAGGAGGATATTTTCGTTCCGAGTCGCTGACTTACTTATAAAGCTTTCGGACCTATGGATGATCGAGTCAGCAAAGGTGAAAATGCACCTAGAACAAGGATAGAGAAACCCACAAAGTCGCTTGAATTGCCCGTGGAGGTAGTACCTCCAGCTTGAGTACCTTCCATGGCCACGAGTATGAAGCGCGATCTGGCGGGGCGAATTCAAGAATCGAGGTCGAGTGCGAATAGAAAACGCGGTAAGAACTCGGCGACTGGGATCAGCGAGGGAGCGTGTGTATGCGAGTGAGGTTCAACAACCCAGCACAGCAATCGCGGAATTCAGCCCACCCAAAAACCAAAGGCAAACAGGAAAAGGAAAAATGGGATTGAAGCAGAGAAAGCGACTCTGCTGATGAGGCCGAATAGAGGCACTGGCCAAAAGCGAAGCGGGGTGTGCAGGATTGAAGCCTGCTGGGTTTCGTTTCGTCCAATGTCGTCACAGTCAAGTTAATCCATCTGCAATTGAAAGGATGAGAGGGATTTCTGAGTGGACGGGCAGCCGATCTGCCTACTTAGCCACAACAGGGAGAGATTGCAGGATGAACGGGCAGAAGATGCTTTAGTGAGCATAAACTGGCGGAGGAGGGCAGAGAGACGGTGGCACAATAGGGCACATGGAGGATGGGGCAGCAGAGCTAGAGGATGCGGGCAAGAGAGAGGGTGAGGAGAGGAAGCGTTCAGCCAGCGCAGAGAGGCAAAAGGTGGAGAGAGGAAGCAGTAAGGATGTTGAGTCTCTGGAGCAAATAATTCGGAGTCTCTGCAGCATGGATCTCGGCGTGCAGGCTGGAAGTGGAGGGTTGGTTCTGACTTTGTGACTAAAATAATGACTTTTCGAGGATGGTTTCTTCTCTCAAACACCAGGAAACAACCGCTTCACTCGTAATTAGTGGACGGATGCTTGGGGTGCCACTTTGTTTGATGGCTTTTCTGTGAACGGGTAAACTACAGAGCCATTCGACTTGCCCTGGACTACTTTTGCCCCCTCCCTCAGGGAATTGATCTCTGCCATGCCGTTGGGTTTGCCCCCTCACCACTGTGCTGATGACCCGGCATTAATATTCATTAGTTGGGTCTCTTGGGAACAGCTATGATAGCTTCTACAGGCCAGCGACTGGAATATGCAGTCCGACTCCTGGTGCTCTTTTTCGCAGTTCCGCTGACTAGCGATGGATTGAATTTGCTGCCTCCCCTCGCTTGTAGAGTTCAGGGCTCTCTAGCCATGGGAAACCGTGTTCGATCACCAGCCAGATCTCAGGCACCGCGTGTTTGGTTTTGGAGAGCTGGAGCTTAATGGGACAGCTCCCTTCCGAGCTGCGATGAGAGCATCAAGATAGAAATGATTGCAAGGGGAATCCAGCGAATAATGGGCTTATTTGCCATCAATCTCACCTCCCAAGACTTGTCTCAGAATAAGTTGGCAGCCGCCCACAGTTGCTAGTGGGAAAGCTATATTATTTCGCTCGAATCTTGTAACTCGTCTACCGCCATCTCGGGATGAGGGCCAATCTGCTAAGTTAATTTAATTCGGTCCGCAGCCTGTCGTTGGATGAAGCCGTAGCTCATGGCATGACTCCACGATGGCAAAAACGAAAATGAAAAAAAAATCCACACAAATATCCCTGTGAAAAGCACACTCGTCAATTTTCAAGAGCCGTTTGTACTCGGTACCTGGCGCAACTTGAATCTAATTCCCTTGCTTCGGGTATTGTGGTTTGTCCTCGAACTCCTCTTGATGGCTTGACATAAGAAAGACCCTGCGGATAATGCCGATTTGCGGAGGACTCCGGGTTTCGTAACAACCAGTCGACATCTCTCGTTCAGAGTATCCAAGTCGTTATTGACAGTTGTTCCAATGGGCCCCCGCTAGCGTGATGCCGCAAAGCTGATCATGTGTTGCAATTTGATCCACAGGACGGGGAGTTTGATGGTTCTGAACGCGATTAAAGTCGCCTCGGAGGCTGATCCTCACAGCCCTTTCTGATTCAAACTTCGTAAAACCACCCCGGTTAGCGGCCTCTAATAACAGTGCGAAGATGGCTGTTACCCATGCTCGGGCGGGAAATGGTTCCGATGTACTATGTTGACGAGGGTACGAAGGATTGTGCAAGGTTTCTTCAAGGGTACTCTCCTCACGTCTCATTCCCTCTCGTCACAGGTCCCTTCATGATTGATGGAAGCAGAGGAGAAAGGTTCAACTGTGCTGCAAACGGGCATGTTTCGTTCCCGTGTAAAACGAGATTTTCAGCGCTTTTTTCTCGTCTTACCCCCGCCCGTCTCGTTGGACCTTGCGGGTGCATTCCGTGGCCCTCAGCAATCGATGACATCCCCTGTCGATAGCGATCAGACAAGGGAGGAATGGACGTATCAATTCCATGACATTCAGCCCTCACCCAGTTGCTGATACACCCTTGTTTTAATGACGCAAAGGCATGCGTATCTCAGAACAGAGGTTCTTCGCACATCAATACTGTTAGTATCCGTGGTGTCAACTTGGAATGTTAATAAGAGTGGCAAGTAAACAGTAGCCTATTCGGATTCGGTCAATTCTTCCATCCAAGGACCAACAGTGACTTGAATCGCGGGCGTGTGGGCATCGCAGCTCTTCGCACAACATTCAGGCCCTTCACCTTTCTCCCCACCATGATCTTCATCGTGGGTGAAATCGCGTGGCTAAAATTAGCCGAGCTTCCTCACGGACATGACAGCTATGTTCCAGACTACAACGGCTGTTCTGGAACACTGGTGCTCCCCTGGAGGATACAGGGTCTGGGTACAGAGAGCTCAACTCCCCCAATTGTTGGCCAAGTCATGTAACTATCGTACCGAAGTACGTTTTCGGGCCTTGAATCTTCCTTTGCATGGGAGCGAGATGCCACATTTGTATAGTTAGTTATGCAAGGTAATCAAAGACTCAACTGCTGCCAAATTCTGCCCACATTAGCGAAAGAGACGTTAAAGTCTCTCCAACGACGTTTTGCTACCGTTCATAATCTCATCTCTTACCCACTTGATCTCCTCAGCGAGCACGTCAGGCTGAACGAGATGAACATGATGCCCACAGTCTAGCAAATGCACGAGGCGGGAATTTGACGAGAGCTGCAGTTGCTCTACCTTCATCATATGGTCAATATCATCCCACTTATCTAACAAGTGTCGAAAAGCTCTTCGCTGCTCTTCTGTGCCATTCCCAACCTCTACGCCTTTCTTGTAGATGCGCTCGTAATCTCGTGCACTATTGGCGCGAATCACACTCAGAGGCTTGCTCCCCAGTGCCTGATCTGTACACTGCTTCTTTGCTGCCAGCATCTCGCAGGTTTCCTTGAAACATGCTGCCTCAGCCTCCCAGTTTGACATACCACGAAGGATATCAGCAGCCCTCGTCCGCCACTCTTCGCGGGTAAGCACCGTGTCTGTTCTGAGCCCGGTAACCTGTGCGTAGTTCAGATTACCCATCACGGCGTCGATGTTTGGATCTGGAATCTTGAAATAGTCACTTTGTCTTTCTGATGCGGGGTCGCAGAGGACCATCCCAGCCACGGCGCCTGGGTACAAGTGAAGGTACTCGCGCGCGATGATAGCACCGAATGAATGGCCAACCAACAGCAGAGGAGGAAGTATTCCAGCATTCGTCAGGAGCATATGCAATTCAGCTACTGCCGCAACGGCGCTGGGGCGTGGATGACCAGGCTTGCCGGCGTCACTGGCGCCTAGTCCGGAGCGGTCGTAGAGCAATATCCGTGAAAAGCGGCTGACAAGGCGTGCGAGCGCAACGTATGATGAAGCTACGTCTCCAGCGCCAGTGAGGACAATGACAATCGGATCTGTTACGGAGCAACGGTCAGGGCCGGTTACAGACATGGCGAGGCGGTGGGTGCCGATTGAGACCATCGATGTAGCACTCATTTCGCCTGAAGAATCCATGACGCTCTATATGTTCTCAGGTATCATCTTAATATCCAAAGCTAAAATAAGAGTAGTTGCCTCTTGACCGAAAGTTTGAGGAGAGCAGTGAATGAGAACTCGGGTGTAATTGTTCCTGGGCGAGACATCCAACCACCTAGTTAGTTATTCACCTCGCCTTTACCGCAACGAGCTTCACTCAACTACCTACATTCTTGATTCAGCATATGCTAGATCCTTGGAACTTCCTCTTGATACTAACCAACCTCTACCCAAATATCTGCTTTGTGTGTACATACATATCAAGATTGGGATGTAGTGAACTGAAGGGAGGGGATGTCCTGTTCCCCGACACTTATGTCCTGATCACCGCTTCCACAACCCAGCCCTTGGATGTTCCATGTACCTATAGCACTTCGAAACTATGCCGAAAAGGCACTCCCAATCTGATGAAGTCTTTTCGGACAAGGTGAAAAGATCGCCACAAGATGGAGTAGTTTGGTCCATGGACCAGACGTACTGCCCGCACTTTTATTTAGAAGCAGAAACAACTGCTTTTATCAAGATTTACTTCATCAATTTTGCCAGCATGCATTGAGGAAAGGAATACCCATGAATTGTTACAGATGGCTTATGGATCTGCTTCACCTTTCCACATGGTTGATTGCCATAACCTTATTGCAGGGGCGTTCTCATCTGTACCAATCTCAGGTTATGCCACTTGTCTCTAGTGTCAAGCCGCGTGGTCTAGAACATTATCAAGCTGTTCGTTACCAGGGTTGTTTTGTTTGAGGTATTGCGGATGTCAATTCTCTTTGATATTACCAGCAGCCTGATGGTTGTCACAATGGCTCTGGCAGCCAATGGTTTTATACGAGTCAATCCCGCGAGGACTTGGAGCCGAATCAGACTTAGGACTCGACTGAGTTGATTTGACCGGAGGCGACTGTCTGTCGTATAAGATGAGCTCCCAAGCATGCGGTAATAGCTCCTTGTTGATATCTCTGCTCTTAAAGAGTTGCATTCATTAAGCCAGTCCGTTTTTGTCAACAGCTAGCTAAGCAAGCGGTGGACGCCGATTCGGTTTCTCAAAATACCTTCTGCAACAACTAACGGCATGTCGAATGGTACCAATGGGATTAACCATACCCCGGAGGTTGAAGTCCTCAGCATGGCGGTAAACTATCCCAAAGGCAGGGTCTATCCAGGGCAATTCGAGGAGTTTAGGAAGCGCCATTATGCTGATACAGATGTGTAAGTTTCACACTTCCAACTGCCGGCGGGCAATGCAACCAGATTCAAAGCATAAATTCTAATAAGCCTTACAGCATGTTGAAAACCATGGCTCTAAATCGACGCACCGGAATCAAGTCACGGCCTTCCCATCTTGGATCTTGATGGGCCGCTCGTCAATGGTCCTGAGACACCCTCTATCAATGAACTGGATGCAGTCTTCAGAGATATCGGCGTTGACCTCTCGGTTGAAGCTTGCCGCAACGCGATTAAACAATGGGGCGGAAATATCGAAGACATTACTCATATGTTCTCCGTGACCTGCACCCATACAGGAAACCCTGGGTTTGATGCGATTGTTGCGCGAAAGCTGGGGCTCAAACTTGATACAGACAGGGTCCTTGTGCATGGCACGGGGTGCTCAGGTGGCCTTACCGTTTTCAGAACCGCTTTCAATGTTCTTCAAGCAGAGACTTTTCGGAAGAGGCCAGCTCGAGCATTGCTCCTCGCAACCGATCTTCCTACTGCCCTGGCAAGGAGCAGCTTGGACGATGTCACCCCGGAGGGTGGTGTCAATATTGGGTCAATTCTATTTAGCGACTGCTCGACAGCTTATATCATGAGCAACGGGGTCGAGCCTCGCGACTTTGAAACACCCATGTACCAGGTCTTGAATTGCAAGCATGCTCTTCTGCCAGGAACCGACAACGAAATCCAATTCAACATTGATGTGACTGGTAATTTCAGTTCTTTCTTCGTCAAAAAATGCGGCTTGCTAACCGAATCAGGCTACAAATCCATCGTCACCAAAAAGGTCCCATTTATCTGTGGCGCTGCAATTGGTCCGCTGTTCCAAGAATTCATTAAACGGACACCTGCTGCTTCAAATGACGGCGAGCCGAATCCTCGTCACTTTGATTGGGCATTGCACCCAGGCGGGATCTCCATTGTCGATGCTGTACGGCAAAGCCTTGAGCTTGATGAGGACCACCTTCGTGCTAGCTACGATATCTATACAAACAACGGAAATAGTTCTAGCACAACCGTATTGAACGTTATGGACCGCCTACCGCAGATGGGAAACGGCCGAAAGGATGTGATTGCTTGTGCAATGGGCCCAGGCATCAATGTCGAGATGAGTTACTTGCGCAGGGTCTGAAGAGCATCCCACAGTTTGGACTTGTCCAGAAAGCTTTGGGGTCGTTTTCGAGGCGACAGGAATAGGTTTTAACGAAAAGTATTTGCCTTTTTGGATGGGAGTATTGACCATTAGCTTGGTCTCTTCATAAGATTTAACTGCATAACCGCGAAAAGTCATTGTGTAAGTAATTATCTCAATATCTGCGTTCAAACCGTCTTTCCTGTGATTCTCCGGTCCATATTTTGATATTCGCAACATAATATTCTAGACCCGATCCCGTTGTCAACCATGGGACCGCAAACGTCTAACTCAAACGGGCGCTCTAGAACTTATCGGGAAAGATGGGGCAAGAGAGCTTCAAAAGCCACTGACATTCAAGTATAGATCCAACGACACTGGAAATTATCTTGATAGAAAAGAATCTTCCTTAAGAGCCACCGCAAGCTAACCAACACAGAGTTCATGTTATCTGCAAGCGATAGGACCTTGAAGGCGAGCTTAGTTAGAAGAGGTTTCCAAAATAAATTGTCTTTCGGACATAATCGGATGATTGAATCCAGATTCCTACAAGAACCATTGGGTAAGAATTTTGGATACCAGAACGCTGACATGAGATGGCTTTCGAACGCATGCATGTACAGGAGATGTACCTATGGAGGCAAGTTCTTTATCTGGTCCTGGAAATGGATACGCTGGATATCGGTGTGCAATATCCATTGCGAAGGGAAATCATACTGAGTACCTTTTGGCCAAATACGCCCCATGGGGGACGTATGGTGGTGGTCTGTCTCCCTTCATTTCTAGCTCATGATAGTCTTGCATTTGCCTCCGCACTTCAACGAGAACACCAGGTTAGCGAGGTGCAGTGATTCTGTTCCTGTCCGTTTTAATCACGAGTGTTTTGCCATAGGGCCATGTGGTATATCGAAAAGCTTATACCACCCGGCTTTTGGACGAAGCCGTTTGAAAGTCTCTGAAATAGCATACATGACAATAGCATCATGTATGTGAGGCCCAGCTCTCAATAGTACTTCCAAGGAGAACGTTTTCATGTACGTGTGGTTGAATTTCGTCCACCGGCCCGAGGATGGCTTGCGATTATGACTCTAGCTTCACTAAATTTGATAGTGGCTCTTGATAAAATTGTCAACTTAACGACATGTCCATAAGTAAAATTAGATCTAAGAGGCGATTTTGTTGAATAGGAGAATCATTAACCTTTCTGAATGCACCGGACGCCTCAGGAAGATGCGAAAATAGGAGAATATCCAGTTATAAATACATCGAATACCCGTCATATTGACCACTAGCCACAATCACAGCTCAAGTGCCAAAACCGCCGATATCATTTTTTCCCAAGCGGTTTGTTCAGTGATCTGCGGGTCATCGCGAACGCAAGAATAATAAAATGCAGGGTGAATCATTGCTTTGCGCTCTCCCACTGCTCTGGGGTGTAGCATTTCGGAGTCCAAGCGTGAATCGCAGCAATTTCAGCCTTCAGGGCGGAATTCACCAAGCGGTGTCGAGCGAGCATGGTCTTGTTATCGAATTGGGGCGAGACGATTATTGCCTGAAAAGCCTGGCCGCAGCCGCCTATATATCACAGATGGGAAAGATTAGAAAAATGGCCGCTTTATATGATTGCAGGGTGAATGTTTCGGCAAAGGGAGAATAGTCCAATGCATACCTGATAGATCCTCGATTTCTACATGCTGGGCACCTAATTTGGTAATAAGGGACTCTTTTATGGACTCTGCTGTGACGCCGGATGAGTTACTGGCTGGTTGGGCTGCATCGGCCATGGCCGCAAACGCGCGCTGACTGAGAGAAAAAGTTCGTTGGCCGTGGAGGAGATGGAAGGTCCCTCGGGAAAAGAGTTGGCGGGCGTACATATAGCGAAGCACGGAGAAGCGTTTTCTACCTCAAGTACCATGAACAAAGAAATATGAGGTTGTTTGTTTGCGCGACACGATGCCCTCAATTCAACCGCCGCTTGACTTCAAATCTGGCGGGGAGAGAAGTCAAAGGAGAAAACTGCTTATGTCAGCAGATATTATTATGATTCCATGATTGACCTCAGCCCTTGAAGCGACACCCGTAAGTGATTCTCTACAGGATCCTAATCTGCATTCAGTTAGGGATCTGATAACTAACCTCATTTCAGCACGCTTTCTATCAGCTAATGTTCCGCACAGCATTGCGTGCAAGAACCATGGCATCATGTCGCCCTTTCAGGACCTCCCCATTCTCAGAAACTGTGGTGGAGTGCATGCGAAGACTGTATGCATGGAACACCTTACAACTACAGAGCTGAGGATATCAACTTATCACCATATAGGTACCCTGAGAGCCTGGCCGATAAGAGCTTTGATAATACAGGATGTGAGTACTATTGATATCGAGTTATGTCGTCTGGTGGCTTATTTAGAATCAAATAGTATTACTCGAAGCACCATTGAATAAGAACAGGCGGCTGCAGAATTCAGTCCTCCTAACGATCGATTTGACACAAGCAGTTGCTTCGGAGGCAATTGAGCGCGGCGATTCGATCATTGTCGCTTATCGTACGCCCACACTCTGAGAACCCGGGCCATGGATACTGCAGAGACTGACCGATATCAACAACATAGATCCCATAATCTTTCGCGGCCTAAAGTCCTTAACCTCCAACAATACGCAGCAGCAAACCCTACTCCGGCTTGCTGCGGAAGGTATAAGCGTATATTCCCCACATACTGCCGTCGATGCAGTCCCTGGTGGTATGGCCGATTGGCTCTGCGACATCGTCACTCGTCGCGAGAATAAGAACACTCTGCAGGACGACGCGGCACGGTCTTCGATATCAGGTAAATCCCAACCACCACCACTCCCTCCTCGGACAGATTCACCGGCCGTGTTACCTCATATTATTGTTCCTACATCTCATCGTTGTTCTTCAGCTTCAGCTTCCGACATGACAATCCCCCATTCTCGCTCGGTCCTCCTTCAGAACCCATCACCACCCCCTGGGTTCGAAGGTGCTGGTGTAGGCCGCATAGTATCCTTCTCCACGCCTCAACCATTAACATCAATCCTTCAACGCATCACCTCTTTCATTGGCCTTCCGCGTGGCCTTCTGCATTTCCCCGTCGCCATACCGCATGGCTCAAGTGCCGCCGATATGCAAATACGCACGGTAGCCACATGTCCTGGCTCTGGGTCCTCGATTCTCATGAAAGATGGCAGACCCGTGGCAGACCTGCTTTTGACGGGTGAAATGAGCCATCATGACGCCTTGGCTGCCATCGAGAATGGATCGGTGGTGGTGTCCCTTTTCCACTCGAATTCTGAGCGAGGCTATCTGCACGACGTTATGCGGGACAAGCTGGAAGCAATCCTGATGCCAGAATGGTCCCAAATGGCCGAGGATCTGGCTGATCTGCCGGAGACTGCAAGCAATGAGCTGGTAGATATATTAAATGACCAGACCGTCGAAGTCAAAGTGAGTGAGCGAGATAGGGATCCATATGGGCTTGTAATGTGGCCCGAAAGCGGCTAGAATTGCGAGGCAAAATAAAACAGTTTTGAAATTCTGTGTACACAATTCGCGCTTCAGTGTTGCCTGACAGTACACAAGATAACCATCTTTTTGACATTTTACGGCCAAAGCAATCTCGGGCCTGTATGTAAATGAAGTTTCAAATTGGAAGCTAGTCCGCCCAGGCCGTGATCCCGAATTGAAGACGCAAAATTCATCTTGTAACAAACTCAGCTCAAGAGCACTCTAATCTCTCCCGTCGTTCGCGGGAACAACGCCCGCAAGCTCCAGACACCCGCCTGTTCACCACTTTCATCGCCCAGCGCATCATTTGCATCCTTTTCCTTCCCAACCGCCGAGCTGCCAACCGTTCCCGCAACGTTCATCTTCTCCTTCGCCTCATCCGCGCCCACAATCATGCTTTCAACAAATTCAAAATCGCGGCAGAATTCTTCAACGGCCTCCTCGGTTACACTCTTTACCAATCCGCGGTTGTGGATGCGTTTCAAGTTCTCCGTGGCATCCACCAGTGCCGAAGGGAGGAAATCGTCGAGCTGCTGGCTGACAGTGGACAGGAACGCCGGCTGAAATTCCGGCAGCGAAGGGATATCGGCCAAATGGCGTGCCTGTGTAGGATGGTCTGGGGTGGTATTTTCCGCTGAAGGTTGGGCTGTGTTGCCTGGCGTAAACGGCTCAAGTGCTGTTACTAGAGGTTGTAGTCCGGATTCTTTGAGGAGGAAATCATGCTGGATGTCAAGGAGGTTGGTTCTTAACGAAGCCAGGGCAGCTGATAGTGGAGGCATATGCGTGGCGCAAGCGAATGGAAACGGGGAAATGGCAGCATGAACGGCCAGAAGCGAGTTAGTCTGGTATATGATTTTTGAAGTGAGGTTGCTGATTGCGTTAGAAGATGTTTTTGCGAGGTCAAGGAAGGGGTCCAAAGCGGTTCGAATAATGGGGCTAAATTTATTTTCATCCTGTGATGTATCGTCCGTGGGTTCATGTTGAACAGACGAATCGTATGCCTTCATAAGTGGAACGAGGTCGTCGAGCGCATCAGTTAGGAATTCTGGAGCGCTCAAATCATCCGGAGGAATTAAACCCGATGGATCCCCCATAATTGTGGCGGTTTGATCATGGATCAACGCTTCGAACCGTTTAAAAGCGACGGATTGCAGCGACGTGACTGTTTCCACCAAAGCTGAGCCGTCACCAATAAGCTTAGAAAACGTAATCTGATAGAACGCTAAGAGATTCATAATTTTATAGAGAGTCACCAGCTCGTCATGGCCCTGGACAACAAGTTCAGCCCTCTGCTTTAACGAACGAGCCACTCCACTCATGTCACGCGTCACGAGCTCCTGTAGCGCTTTTTGGCCGTCGAAAACAGTTTGCTCCTCGTTGATGAGGGACCATGGTTCACTGATTATGCCTGCCTCGATGCCTTTTGCAAGTTCGCCTCCGTCTGAAATAAACAGCGCTTCTAGAGCCTCTCTCTCAGAAACAGTCGCGGAGTGCACCCAAGCGAGCATATCCCCCACGTAACGAAGGGGATCGTGGGCTGAAAATTCTATGGGTTTGGCGTTCGGATCAGGTCGTTCGCCAGAGATTTCTGCAGTCAAGGCATAATGGAAGGAATCCGATAGAATATACTCCCGGGCTTCAGCGAAGAAGTCCAAGCAGCTGTGGAATAAGCTGGGTCGCTCCGCTAGAACTCGAAGCCCCCTTCTTATCGAGCCGCTCATTTGAGGATCTTCGAGATTCAGAGATTTGAATTCCTGCTGTATCCATTTATATAGCTTCATAAATGCTGAATTCAGATTCTTTGAGCTTTGTTCCATGATCTCTAATCCCAGGCGCTGGTTTTCACCACCAAGGAGCACCTCGCAATCTTTGTGTATCTGCTTTTGGCGGGAGAGCACTCGAAAGAAAGTATCGTCGACCGGTTCAGCAGACGAAACCAACACAGATATATCATCGTCGGAAAGCACAAAATGCTTATTGAAGGCGTCAAGTAGCTGTTGCTTAGTCTCTACTTCGTGTTTTTGTGAAATCAAAGCAGACGCTTCGTCGAGAACTGGGCCAGTTTCCTGTCGTGCAAGGGTGATATGTTGGCGCATATCCTCGCATATTGTATTCAGTTGGGATATGACCGCTCCGATGCGCGTGAGTTGCTAAAGTCAATTCCCCATCAACACTGAAACTATTCTGGTGATATTGGTACCCTTACCTCTGCGACCTTTCCGAAATCCTGAATAATGCTGCCATTGGAGTCTATGACTTCTTTCTGGATATCCAGTCTTAGTGTCCTCCGCGTGTCTGCCGTATTTTCCAGCCCTCTCTTGTCGAGGGTCTCCAATGCATCTCGTATATCCGAGTCAGTGTACGAAGTTGACAGGACGGTGTTGAGGCGATTGGACAGTGCAGTAGGCTTTGCGAGGGACCCTGCGTTTGATAGCGGCGGCGAGGCCGCCATATCTTCTGGAGCTGGGCTGCCAGCAGCCATGAGTGGCAGACTGTTGGTTACTATTTGAATCGACAATTGACGATTCTAGCCCAAAGTCCCTCTTCATTCTACCAGAAGGTTGGCTTCAGATGCTTCGGCCGGCGGAACAACATTGCTCCTTGACCCCAGCCCACCTGCACCAACCTACCGGAAGCTATTCAGGAGCTCGTATTATAGAAGAAAAGGGGTCTTTGTGCGAGGCGGTTTATCAATTTCAAAATGGAAGGTTTTGAAGCAATCTTGTCCCCATCTAAAGCGCGACAGGCAGCTTCGCAGGCCAAAGATTGGGCGTATGTTACAAACTGGCTGAACCGTAAATATTCCCCCAACCGTGTACCGAATTTTGAGCGCAACGACGACACTCTAAAGGCCCTACTAAATATCGCCGCCGCCAATGACACCGCAGACGAAGAGGAAGCACTTATACATCGCGCCAGAGAGGAAACCATTGGCCTCTTGAAAGCCACTGAGGCAGAGCGATCTCCGGATCCCACTCTTGCACTTCTTGAGGATATCGAGGATGAGCTTGATGATAAAAGCAACAAACTTCTTCAGGATATGGCTGAAACGGCGGTGCTGCTAGGTATCCCTACGGGGGATTTGGCGAACCTCGATCGAAGCATTTTGAATTTGACGAGAGAAGAGTTCAACGCCACAGAGCAGCTCCAGAAGCTGGAAACATTGCAGCTTTATTTAAAGAGGGAAATTGCCACGCTCCATGAGCAACTAGAAGAACTCAAAGATGACCGCAAATACGAGACGCCGCCAGATTTACCCGCGAAGACTAGCGAATGGGTCAGGAATAAGAAGACGGTAGACGCGAAAGCCAAAGAATACCAGAGCAGGATCATGGCTTGGGCAAAACTCCCTGAAATTGGGAAGCCCAGGATTGAAGATTTAATGATTGAAGAAGAAGGCGTGGTTCGGATTAGAGAAAAGGTGAAGAGCCTTGAAAACACAGTCAGCACATTCCATGGGTTACCCTCCAACATCGTCGATGCAAAATCAGAATATCAAAAGCTCGAGAATGAGCTCCATGCGCTTATTCGGCAACGCGATCAATTGTTTGAAGGGTTGGTAGGCAGGAGCAATCGTTGATATCCTGGCTTGGTATTTGGCACGGCTTCTCTACAAATGAAAAATAAAGGGAAAGATGTTATAGCTTCAAGAGATTGATATTGAGCTATGGTATAATACAAGACACATGTGGAACCTCCTGAACAATCTGAGACGCCGAAAATATCACACCCGAATCATAAGCGTCGTTGACAAGAGTTAAATTTATTTGTTGTCCATTCCCAAAGCGTTCTTTACTTTGTCGCCACTATTCACTCGGTCAGCAATTGGCCAATCTCCAGATTTGAAAGCCAATGGGAAATCTTACATTGTGGAGGTGGCACCGCCCTGGCTGTTGTCATGGGCACGTTGACTCTTATCAAAGGACTCTTGAATGCCTCCCTTGTTATCATCGGGTTGCATTCCACTACCGGCTGATTAGCTTCCTGACAGGAACAATTAAGGACAGTGAGAAAGTTGAACCTACCGAGCAACACGGTCCTTAGTATCTGTGATGGTCTCCTTGACCTTCTCCTGGGTGGACTTGGTGGAATCAGGAGTCATCTCCTCCTTAGCCTCTGTGGAGCGTGGTATTAGCGCATCAATGCTAAAAGAGCTATGTAGAGCTGCTGGACAACGTACTGGTGGAGAAATCTTTGCGGCCTGGGTCAGACATGATTGCGGTTTGGTTGTAAAAGAAGTAATTCGGTTAAGCTTGTTTGCGTAGTGGAGGATCTTCAAGTAGATGCTGTTGATTGGCAATTGTTGTTGATGATAGAAGAAAAAAGCTCCAGGAACTGAGCGATCTTGCCTGACTTTATACCTCTGGAAAGGGAGGTTCGTGCCTCTGGGTGACGTACATCCCACGCTGAGGGCTACCCATTCTCAGGGGCACGGCCAACTGGGAATCTTGGATATGATGCAATTGCAAGGCAAACGGGCCTCGCGTTGACGATACAGCAAAACTGGTTTTTGATAGAAAGCATCGCGACTTTGTCGTCTTCACGTGCGTCCCAGGGGCCAATGACGTCGTTCACTCGGTGATGTCATTCTTTCCCCACACTTTTAAAGCAAGCTAACCATATATGGACTAGTTCAATTACATTTCAAATTACATAATACACTACTCGGATCATCGTTTATACGCTTAGTCACGTGGTGCATCCTCGCTGCCCACAGCCTGCGGGGGTCAAAGCAACGCTTCACTCTGTGATTCACTTCGCCCCCTTGGACTCGATGGACTCTGCGCGCATCATCGTCAACCAACGTTTACTCAAAATGTCACTTCCATTACTTTTTATTTAGTTTCACTGGTTCTCCTTGTATCCACCCCCTTGCTTTTACCTACTTTCCAAGCGGTAGCCTGGCATATAGTCCCTCCGCCACATCACTCAGTTCATGTCGCCTTCCGAGGCTTCGTCGACATGGGACTTCACTCCTGTGATTAACCTGCTCCACTCGTTCACGCCAGAACCCCAGAAGAAAGCGCTCCAAACATGGCAAAGCCCTACGTTGAAATCTCCTGACGCTTCCAAGGATGGTGCTGGCTCGCGCGAGCAAGAGTGCACCGATGACGCTGAATGTAAGCTAGGCGATTTCGGTGCGCTATGGACCTTCCTCTCACGAAGTCGCCCCTCCGCCCTCGATGCTATCAGCGAACCCGCAGCACCAGAGGCTTCAGGCTCCCATTCCAACGAGAAGCCAAACGCCACCGTGACTGACCCGCTCGAAGCTACTGTTGAAAGGCACACGGAACGAGAGGGCACGCAGGCGAAGAAGATTCTACTGAGGAAAAGCCCGTTGCTGGATAATACCGGGTCAAACAGTGCAAAGGGTGCTATTTTCGAGCGGCCGGTGATTCAAATACTGAAAAACCCAAATTTAAATCGAGCCCAGCAATCTCCGTTTCCTGAGGCTGCTCCTCAAGAACCTTCAAAAATCAAGCAACCGGTTGTCACCAAAACCACACCATCAACGCCGCTTAAAGCGCGAAGCAAATCACCCAAGAAAAATACACCCAAAGTACTGCCTAGACTGACTGGCTCTTCGGCCGACAGGCGAGCTAATCTAATCGAGCTTCTCCGTGAGTGCCATAACAACCAGAGACACCTTCTGGCCAATCCCAACCTCTGCAACCCGGAATTTATATCATCGAATATCAGTTCAACCGGGATCCATATCTTTATTGACACATCTAATGTAAGTTATTGATTTCCCCTGGTCTTGCCGCACCGGAATTAATGGTAGCTTCCCCTTAGGTAATGGTTGGATTCCATGATTGCATTAAAATTGCTAGGAATATACCAACCACTGTCCGCGTTCCGCGTCTCCCGTTATCGTTTCATAATTTCTCGCTTGTCCTCGAACGGGGCCGACAAGTCCACAAGCGTGTTCTTGTTGGATCTGATCGCTTTCCGGCTATAGATGAAGCTGAAAAACTCGGCTATGAAACCAATATCTTGGTGAGGGTTCAGAAGGCGAAAGAAGCCAGCCCACGCAAGAAGAACGGGAATGACGCTGCGGCCGCCAAATCTTACGGCAATACACAACAGGATCATTCCAGCGGTTCAGAAACAAATTCTAGGCCTGTTCGAGAAAAGTGGGTGGAGCAGGCTGTAGATGAAATCTTGCATCTTAAGATCTTGGAAAGCATTGTTGATACGGATCGTCCTTCGACCATTGTCCTTGTAACAGGGGACGCGGCTGAAGCCGAATATTCCGATGGATTTATGAAGATGGTTGAGCGTGCTTTACAGAAAGGGTGGAGAGTCGAGCTGGTTAGTTTCAGCTGCACCATAAGCCGCGCTTATAGCCGAAAAGACTTTCGATCCAAATGGGGTTCGAAGTTCACGATAATCGAGCTGGACAAGTACGCAGAGCACTTGCTAGACATGTGAAGCATTGTCTTGTGCTATCTATATCAACCTTTTGGACTGGGTAAAACCAGAACGTCAGGCTGTTATATCCATGCTCACAAACATGTCCCATGGGCTCGCACGCAAATGGAATCATCTTGTCAAAGTCGATATAGTAGCTTATACCTAGTAGCATATCTCAAAGATCACAGTGGTTCATTTTGCAATTCAGATTGAAACGCTCTGTATGTGGTTGATCCCTCATCATCGTATGAATTTGATAGTGATGCATGTGACGTCGCCAACTCCCAAGCTGAAGTCTGGAGTTGCAGCCCGTCAACCCCTCACCTTGACAAGACTCACGTCTTCTCCGTGGACAGATAGCTTCGAGAAGCTCTATTACCAGATTGCTAGAGATTCAGTCGATCGTCAACATGGTGCAAACCCAAATCACCACCCCCGGGTACGCCCCGACGCCATTATTTGGCGGTGCGATGATGGCCGATATACCAGAAGGATTCAAAGACATGAGGTATGACTTTGTCGCAACCCCAGCTTCCCCAGCACCGAAGTTAGAGCAAACTATTAACAATCTGCAAAACCCAGCGACGTACGACCCGTCCCCGACAACCAAGAGATCTGGGCCTCCCCCACCACCGAAACCAGCATCATCATCGAGCTCCTCGAGCGTCTCGAGCGCGACTCGCCCGCCGCGCGCGCCGCACTAGCCGAGATATCACGCGCTCAACAGACGGCCGTTGATCTGTCAGACGACGCACTCGCCATCGTCGCGCACATGCACGATATTTGCGGCGCCAACCGCGACCGGTTCGAGCTGTCCGAGAACCCCAGGCTGCTTCCCGTCCGCCACATCCCGGAGCCGACGTTTGGGTGCGAGATCAAGATCTTCTCACCCGTGACGGTGCACGATCCGTCGGGCGCGGCGCGAACATATGACAGGACCACGACGACGTATGTGTTTATGGTTCGGCTGGCGCTGCAGGCCACGGATATCCTGGTGCATGTTAATGTTCCGCAGACCGAACTGTTGCGGAGCGGGGATGTGAATGCCGTTGCGAATGAGGAGAGGAAAGGGAAAGAGATATTGGAACAGCTGATGCATTCGCTGAGGATTCTGGATTATGGGCTGTTTTCGAATTCTTGAGGGCGGCGGGGTGGGAATCTTGGGGTTGGGAAAATGGAAATTATGCTCTGGTGCATTCATAGCCACAGCGCATGATTGTGTACAAAAGGTAGGTACTAGATATTTCTTTGATTAACGGAAGGATAAGCGGAAACGGCCCGGCGCACTTTCACACCGGGGGGGTTGAGAAGTAGAAACCCGAAGGTGATCACCCCCAACCGCGCGGCCCATATACCTGACTGGCGGTCCACGGAAGTGTTTTGGATCTAGGGTAAAGATGCTGACGGAAATGAGAGTGTCGGTGGAAATTTCACATGTATACCCTGGGGGCACCGAGATATCATTGTATTTAGAACCGAACCATTGTAGAAACTAGTAAATAGCATAAAGAATCCCACAACGTTCATTTATCCAACTGAATGCTCCCAATCGACTTTTGTCAAGAGAGCAGCGGTCTTCCTCGGCTTTGGCTGAACCTGGACCAACGTCCCCTTGCACTTCCCACACCTCATCTTCACGGTATCAATACTCTTCGAATGTCTCCCGTACTCGTGTGCACAGCTCGCACAGCACCAGATATACTTGTAATTGATCGCATATGTATGCTTGGTAGTAATCTGGACCCGTCCGGCATACGCGGGGTTCTCATCAAGTGCCTGTTTACACTTCTGCGCCCAAGCCTTGAAACTCGCCCCGTGAGGGTTGTCGCGGACATTTGAGATCATGTAGTTGGCCAAATGGCAGTACTCGTGGGCGAGAGTGTTGAAGAGCCTGTCGTCCGAATCCACGACTTTATCAGCGAGCTCGATGGACGCATGGTGACGGTATGAGGTCTGGGACAGGGGCTTTTGGGGAGAGGTGGTTGTACCCGGCTCGTTTGAGTTATCTTCAGCAGCGAAGCAGCTGGATGCCTCCTGCACCGGCTGTTTATGCTTGTAATGCTCGCGCTTCCAAGTAGCTCGTCCGGCTGTCGTGTTGAGTTTCTTGCTCCACGTTATTCGCACTCCACCTGTTGCTGCGGCTAGCCTCTGGATTTCGCCATCGGTCACACGGTTGTCTAGCTCTTTGAAAAATTCTTCTGCAAGAGATGCCTTTTTCATGTCAAATTCACGTTTGGCTGCTTTCTTTTTTGCTGCAATCGACTTCGCGGGACTCGCAGTTGTCTTTTGCGGAGACCGCGGAGGCGCCTTTTCGGGAGAAGACTGACGGAAATCCTCTTCGTCGTCCTTATCAGAGAATATCGTGAAGTCTGTAAGCCACTTCTTGGGCGTTTTCTGCTGCTTGGGCGTGAATTTATCATTCCAGCTGCTCACAATATCCTGACTCCAGAAAGCGTCGATGCTTGGTCGATATGGCGATGGCGGAATTCGCTTTGGGGTCTTTTTTGGAGATTGCAGACGCGGCTTCGAAGGGCTGCCGGGAGGAGTGACGAATCCCACTGCTTTTTTCGCCTTGGGTAGTACTTCTTCATGCGAGTGGACGCTAGAGGGATATCAGTTTGCTGAGATTCATTAGTGAAGTAGTTGAACTAAACAACTTACGGGGCAGTGATGGACTCGCCGTCCCCATCTTCACTGTTGCCCATGATGTTGCTCTCTTGGGCCTTCAACTTTTGCTTCTTCGGATTCTCCTCTTGATTTGAGAGAGCATCAGGTTGCAAATCTGATGTTGAGAGATTTGTTTTGTCCAGAATGTCAGCCAACACATCCAAGTCAGGCACACCATGCCCATTGTCTGTGTTTGTGTTGGCCTTTGTGTTCTTCCCAACATCCTCTTTATCTTGCAATCGTGAAGGTCTTCTGCCTCTGAGCAGCCTTCTTCCTGTACTTCTCGGTTGAAGGACTATTTCGTCGTTACTTTCTTCTGCCTCAGCATCAGTGCTTTCTTGATAACTGATATCCTCGTCGTCGCCCACGATAAAGCCATCCAAAGAATCAAACTCTTCATCATCGCTACTTCCACCCGGCCCGTCCTGTTCATCATCTTCAGAAATGTATTGTTCTCCAATGCTCGGCTCCCTCGCACCCTTGCGAACTGGCCTCTGCACTCTGTCTGCATGTCGCCGCAGCCTGGGACCGCCAGCACTCAGCTTCGTTTCATTGAATAGTCCTTTCTCGTCGTTTTCCTTTTCATAGTCCCCGCTTCCCGTGCTCATGTTCTCATCATCCGATAGATAATCGTAATATCGGTTTTCTTCTCTCGCGGAGACACGGCGGCTTCGAGGAAGGGTGTTCGCGCGATTAAGGCCCAGTGGCTGTAGAGTCCTCTTCCATTGTAGCTTCAAGTAATCATGGCCGGCGTTGTCCTCTTTCAACCTCCCCGTGTCGCTTTCTTCGGCGTCGCTTTCCTCTGCACTCAGATCAAAGTACCGTGAGCCGCCTCGTTTCTCTCCGGCTTCGTCGCTGTACTCGTCTTCGAAGGCTGCCTCGCCTTCACTTTCGTGGATAACAATCGTCCTTTTATCGTCCTTTTCTCGCGCGACTGGGCTTGGACGTTTGCGCTCGGCGTGCGTTGTCGGAGTGTCGATGTTTGCGCGCGCGCTCTTTAGGACGCGGGGAGCGGCGCTTGTCTCCAGACGAGCTGACGGAGCTTGCCGTAGTCGAGCCATTTTCTTTTTTGTATAGACGATTTCAATTTGTGCGCGCGCGCTGGAATGTCGCCAATTGCTCTGTTTCAGCGGGAGTGATTTGTGAACGTTGAATATAAACTGTGGCGGTTGGCCCGGCAACGGGCTATTGGACTCGACTATCGCAGCAGATGCCGTAGATCTCGCACCGGAATCACAGAAGGTGGACTGCCATTTTGCAAAGACTAACGAGGTGCTTATACAGACATATCAAGTTTGTATTTACATATCCCTAGACGAGAGGAGAATTTCCCACATCTGAAGACAAGCTGTTGGACAATATTACTACTAACCCACGCAACAAAAAGATACCCAAATTTCCCTTTTTCAAGGCCTTGGTTTGCGAATATACGCCGTAGTATTCAAATTAAGCGCTTTCGATGTTGATCCTCTTCGTCTGCGGCGCCGTCGCCTTGGGCACCACAACAGATAGGACACCATGCTTCAAGCTGGCCTTGACAGCATCCTGATTCACTCTAGTCGGGAAGTTAAACGAGCGCTGGAACTCGCCCACCGATCGTTCCGACACCCAGTATCTCTCTCCCGTCTCCGGCTCCTTGCCCTTGGCCACCGCGGTTCCCTCAGCCGCCTTGCCAGACGGGGGAGGCCCAGAGGAATACGAGCGCTCCGTCCGGCCGTGCACCACTAGGGTGTGCGGGTCGCTGAACTCGATGTTGATGTCTTTCTGGTCGATTCCCGGCAGATCGCCGTCGAGCATGTACGCCTCCTTGGTCTCGCGGACGTCGAATTTGGGGGCGAAGGAGAGGGCGCCGCCGCCGCTGCGGTCGGAGCGGTGGGCGTCATAGTCGTCGAGGAGGCGGAAGAGGGTGCCGAATTCGCTGTGGGGACCGCTGCGTGGGAAGAGAGCCATGCTGCTGCTGAGGGCGGGTGGGCGGGAGGTGGTTGAGTTGTAGCGACGTTGGTGATGGAGGAGTGATGGCGTGAGACTGCGGTGTGGATGGGCGGTCTTGATGGATCTGATGAGGTTTGCGGGTGCTCGGGATGTCTGTGTTCGCAAAGCTTGCATTACATCCGTATGGAAGTAGACTCGAAAGCGTCGGCTGAAGGAGATGAGCTGCGAAAAGGGAATCCTGAGCTTTATGCTTTTCCTCTCCTCCGATGGCCGGGCACAATGACGAAATGATTAGAAGCTCTTCGAAGGATCCTGTAGATGCGCGAAGACTCGCGCAGCGTCTGGATACCTACGCTTTGCCCGTCTGCTTCGGCGGATTGTAGGTAAAGGGATCAGTTTCGTCATCTGGAAAGCTACAGTCCCGTCAATTGTCCTGTTTTGTTTTGAATTGGCGGAGTGGCGTCCTTTTCCCCGAAGCTGGTCTTCACAAGGTATCCAGCTGTTGATTAACAAGAAGCTCAAAGGTTTGCCACAAACGTCATTTTCTGGTTGTAGCTCGACATGACTAGACATCACTAAAATATATATGAAATCCAGGTAGACTTGCTGACCCTCATGCCGGTGTTTATACTGGCATATATGATATTAGCCACATTGCAATGACAAAGCTCCCTGCCCAATCCACTTTGAACCTCGTATAAACCGGGGCAAAGCCTATCCAAGTGGCCTCTGGCGGGTCAGACCAGAAGCTTCTATTCTCCACTCCCAATGCTTGTTGCATACAAGCCGTTCCTTATTGCCCACTCCCGTTATACAGCAGTTTATTTGTAGTGCTCACTCCAGGATACAAAACCGTCGCCGCGGACATTTGCTTGATGCGATCGCAGAGCTTGTCAGTCCTGACGCCTTGAGATGAAATCAGAGTCGCAGCGACGCCAGCTACGTGCGGAGCCGCCATGGACGTGCCAGACATAGTCCGCGCCCGGCCTCCTGGGACTGACGACAAGATGCTGACGCCTGGAGCAAATATCGCAACTGCCTGGGGATTAGCAAATCTTGCATAGACTGTTGTGGAGAATGACTGAGCCATTCTTTTGTTTTTGATGTCAACTTACGGATTGGTCCGTGGTTGGAGAATCTCGCTTTCACATCGTTGGCGGCGGACGCTCCAACGGCGCATACCTTTGCTGCTGCTGCGGGCGTTGTGTTTCGTGCATCCTCCTATATATCGCACCCTATCAGCCAACGAAACTGCAGAAGGGGCTGCGGTTCGTAGAGGGGAATCAACTCACATTGCGGTTCCCAGCAGCCGCTGCCACAAAGATTCCCGATTCAGCTACCTTTGTAGCCACTTCATTCAAAGCCGACGAATCCGGACTTCCTATACTCAAGTTCATCACGGCCTTGCCAATGGCCCCATTTGCCCGCGCATGATCGACCGCCCAGTTCATGCCTCTAATGATGCCGCTGTCGCTACCAGTAGCACGTCTGTTGAGCACCTTGACCACGACGAGTTTGGCCTTTTTGGCAACACCATATGTTTTCCCGGCGAGCGTGCCGGCAGTGTGTGTTCCGTGACCGTGCTGGTCCGTATTAACGTTGTCTGCAACATTGATACCCCAGGTTGCGCGCCCTTCGAATTCAGGGTGGGAGATATCAACGCCAGTGTCGACGGCATACATCGTGACGCCTTCACCCGCAGAAGAGTCATAAACATAATCGCGAACACCTTTGCTCCTGTGCGAGATCCGACCAAGGCCCCAGGTTGGAGCATTCGACTGCGTCACCCATCCGAGTGCCTTGGCCATACGGTCGGGTTCGACATATTTGACCTCGGATCCGGGTCAGCCCAAAACTGCCAGAAATACAAAGGGGGCCTTCGACTCTCACTCACCTTGGGGTCCTTGATGATCTCTTGTAACGTCTCATTGTCGAATTTCCCACTGTATCCTCGCCAGCCAGCGATATCATAGGTGAATTTCACTCCACCGGTTGGAAACGCAATGCCTCGTTTCCGTGTGTTCGCGTCGTGAACGCTCCTCGTCGATTTGACATGGGACTCGAAATCCAGGGCCGAAACCCCATCATTCATCACGACGACATAGGAGTTGGGAATGACATCTTTTTGGTTCTGGAAATTGAGAAGCTGCGCTGCTTGGGACGCGGACACGGCAGCCAAAATGCCAACGAGGAACTTGAGATGAGCCATGCTTCCCATTGAACAAAGACCGGTGCTCGAGTAAAACACTGAAAGAAGCCCCTCGACAAGGCCATGAAGGCCCTCATTTTATATCACCGTGAAGGAAGAGGAGAAATCCGTATACGGAAATCTCGTGTACCTCATATCCGGAAGAACAGCGGGTTCTCTGTTCGAACACGATATGGAACGGTGCATGAATCTCCATATTTCCCATCCGATACCAGCGTAACCTCGATGCCATCATCTGCCATCTCCTGCGCCTTCGGGTTTCGCAAATCTGCATGGCCGAATTTTGATTTTTTGATGGGAATCGCAGCAAAGCAGAGACGCCTCTTTTGAGAGAAAGCGGTCGGATTCGGGACACACACCCCCCCATTTTCGCAATCTTTCGAGTTCATTATCAAGAGGACAAAAAAAAAAGTGTTTAAAAGAACTCGCCAAACCAAAAACCATCTTTTGTCTGCCCCAGGCCCGTGCCCGTGCCCGGCATTGTCCCTCCCTGCGTAGACAATGACAGATGGCCGATACTTGGAAGAAGAAGACGACCCACGCCGAACCCGTGGTGTAACTTGCATGCACGCCGATGGATAATAATAACGATCATGATAAGGCGTTCAACAAGAAATGAGATGTCTTAGAAAATAGAAAAAAGTGGGCGAAAAAGGAAAAAGAAAAGCTGTTGAAACCAGCTCTCTCCCGTTTTCCACCGCCGCTTTCAATCAGACATCCCTGGGGAACGTTCTGGTAACGTCGTCCGCAGCGTCCCGTCGAACACGTGAAGGGGGAAGAGACGCATGGAGAAGGATTGGGAAGGGGGAGTATATTGCTATCGAGGATATATCTGGCTGTTCACCGTTTCGGGTGCCCTCACCGGGTATGGGTATTCCCCAGATGAGTGAGAGTGGTGGTTCCCCGTCCCGCACGACGCGGGAAAAAACTGATAGCCCTTCTTTTTTCCCTTTATGATTTCGGCCAAACAAAACCTTTGAAATCGAGTGTTATAGAAAGGATAAAGAGAGGACTTAAAGGGCACCTTGCGAGGGAATCAAACGGGTTGGCAAGGGAGGAAAGGTAGGTAACCCCCTGTGTTCCCCGTGTGACGGATGTCTTCCTGGAGATATAAAAGCTAGAGCTATGGAACTGTCAAAGGGGAAGAAATGCCTTTAAAGGGCTCTTTTGGTTTGCAATTTCCTCTTTGCAAAGCAGTTTGATCTCCCTGATTTCCAGTGAATATTGCAAGCAATGATTAAATGGATTATGAATATGGCAGCCTTACGCAAACCACGCATACCACATGCTATTCTACACCCAAAGCCCACAAACCAGAGACACGCTTTATACAATTATTAGGCTGGAGAGAATAAAAAAGACTTCCAATTTTGGCTGGGATTATACAAGGCGCGCTGCAAAGACTCGATGCCAACCAAAAGTATATCAACAAAGGACGGAAAAAAAAAGTACAAAATTCATGGGGAGAATCGAGGAGGTATCAAGGAACCGCTTCCGAAACCACATATTTACAAGAGAATCATGCCAGCACCAGCCAGGGTCGCACAGAACACGTAAGCGCCGAGCTGGAGGATGTTGAAGTTGAACGCGGGCACAACCATGGGGGCGGCAGCTGAGGAGGACGAGGCGGAGTTGGGAGAAGAACCGACGGTACCCGATCCGTCCTTGCCGGCCTGCTCGATGAGCTTGCTGCAAGTGCCAGTAGGCTCGACAGCGGACTGTTGCTTGGCCTTGCCCTTGAAGTCACATGCGTTTTGGCCGTTGCCCTTGGCAGATTGTGCCTCGTAGTACGAGTTGAAGGCGAAGGAGAGTTGTTCACGGGGGTTACACATGCTGTAGGCTCCGTACTTGCCGGTAGCCGGGTCGGCTTTGATACCCGCACATGCCTCTGCGCTCAAGCCGCAGACAGTGCCGAACAGGTCTCCCAAGTCTTCGTCGTCGATGTTATCGTCAGCAACGCAAGACAAGCTCTTCACCATGCAGCCGCACAGCTCTTTGTTGGGCGTAGGAGGGAGGTTCTTGTTTGATTTCCAGACCTGGCTACTTGGGCAGGGTCGGAGGTCAGTGTTGCCGGGAGTGTACTGATCCATCTCAACACCGTCTGGATCGACCTTCTTCATTTGATTCTTGAGGTTCTCAAAGTCCTTCAACTTCTTGGCCTTGCCACCCTCCAACTCGACCAATCCTGCAAAATCAGTTAGACACTACGGGCAGAATTAAGAATGGAGTCATCAAGGCATACCATAATCGTTTTCTTCTTGGAAGTACATGTAAACGATACCTCCACTGAGGACAGGAGTCATTTGAGAGCCATAGATGGCTTCAACTTCGGTGAATTTACGGGGTTGGACGAGGTTGCAGCCGTACTCAGCAAAGAACACGGGGATGTTCCAGGACTTGAAGTACTTGACGACAGCATCGTATCCGGACTTGGTGAAGCTCGAGTCTCCACACCACGAGTAGATGTTGTAGCCCCAGAAGTCTATGGCCTCGTCCTTGTTGTTGCAGTAGAAGTAATCGGCCATGTCGTCACGGATTTCAGCATCGTCGTTGGTGGCATATCCGACACCCATTGGGTGGTAGTTCTTGCTTTTGATGTAGGCCTTCATGTCGCGAACAGCAGCCTTGACGAAAGCGCTGGCTTCGGTGTTGCTCTTGTTGTTCGTCACCTCGTTGCCAGCAAAGAAACCCATGACGTTACTGTATTTGGCAAGCTCATCGATGACGGACGTGTAACGCTCGTAGAGTTCATCGTCCCACTTGGGGTCGTCGCGGTTGATGGATGTTTTGGGCTCTGAAAGATCGGCGACGACATAGATGCCGGCGTCCTCAAGCAGCTTCATACATTCGGTGTGGTCCTTTTTTGGGTCAATAGCGTAGACACGGATGGTGTTTGTTCGCAATTCCTGCAGCAGCGGGATATCACGCCTGCAGGCAGTAGGGTCGGCCAAAGGATCTTTGTAGTTATCGGTACCGCTGGTGGTTCCGTTGCTGGATAGGTCCTCTAGACACGAATGCGGTTTTAGTTTCAACTTCAGCTACACAAAACACCGCCAAACTCCACGGGTCTACGTACGTTGGTAGGCAACACCTCGCATAAAGCTGGCGCGAACGGTTAGCACAAGCTCCCTGTTTGGTCGGTTATCGAACGTGCTTACAATTCTGTGCCATTGGATTTGTAGAAGAATTTCGAGCCCTAAAGTGGACATGTGAGTTTTGATTCTGCCCCGCAACGTCTGTCCAGCAAGGCGGACCGACCTTGATGATGATAGGATCGAGTTCTGCGGACACGACGGAGCCAGCGACGATGGCCGCGCCGGCCAAGACGTTTGCAAATCTCATGATCAAATTAAAAGGCAGTAGACGTGAATATGTGCAGCAGGACCCCGAGATCTCTGAACGGGGCGTTTGGAAGGCAGTAAGCGAGTGTTGCCAGTATCGGGGGAAAGATCGTGAAATAAACCGAGGACGGGGGGAGAACCCGAAAATGAGGGACGGCGTGGGAAAAGAAAAGGGCGTCTATTAATGAACGAATGTCATGAAGATGCAAGAGAGAAGAAGAAACGAGCAAACGGTCAAGCCATGAAAAAAGCTGGCGGTTGAAACAGGGATCGAGAGAGAGAGAGAGAGAGAGCGAAGAGCAAGTTTGACGGGGAGGGCGCCCGCATAAAAACGAAGCGCCGCTGGACGGCCGCAAAGGGGCGAGGACACCGCCGGGCAGAAAGGGGTTCATTACGCGTCCCATACGCCCCTCCGGCCAATCAGCGGGCGCAGCGGGCGGTGTAAATTACGGTGCTGTGACATGACAGGCGCTGTGCGTATTGCTTACACAGGGGGTTTGCTTGGTTTGTCTGCGCTGTTCCTCCTGCTCCTTCACAGCCATCATGATCAATGTGAAACAGCGCTGTGAAGGAGGATCAGATGTTGGGTGAGGGGAGAAGGGTTTGTTTTTGCTGTCAACCACAGTGGACGGTTTGGGCGCTGTGGAGATGTCGTGGTTGATGCAGCATCATTTATTGGGAGATGAGTTGTCACCTTGTAGACTTGCCTGAGAACGGGCCAACTCACGGAACTCAAGGCGATTGGGATGCAACTACGGAGTTATGCACGGAGGACTCTGGATATTCTTTTCCGCTCTGATCAGGTTGGTTTTGGGATTGGCTATTTTAGGCGACAAGGGCTTCTGTTGTTGTGTTACTCCGTAGTGATGGGAAGATACGACGACCTTTTTCCTTCCCTCATATTGCTCATCTCTTTTGATGCCTTGAATGACCTTTGATATGTCATTTTGCAGCCGGGCATCTCGTCCTGCGCTTTGGGATCTGTTCCAGGCGCTGCCCTCCATCCATCGCAAGTGATTGGGGGCTCTCGTCCAGGCCGTGTGGGGGACTGTTTCAGATGGCCCAACCCTCCGCGGGACCACGAATGGGCTGCGGATTCAACGGTGGCGACTTGCAAGGAAGCGGTGCACCGCCATCAGGACTCCTCGTCCTGTGATTTCACGGGTCTGGGCTGAGGATCCCAGATTGTGTCCGAGACGCATAAACGGGCATTTCTTGAGATCGGACCGGAGTGCTTGCGGGAAACATCGACTGGAGGAACTGCCCTGAGCCAAACGGCATGTGCATGCACGCTTCCCTGGTTCAGACCCGAGACATGGCCAAATCATGAATGAATGCCGCAAAGGAGGAAACCGGATCGCAGGTGCTGTGGCGTCATCGTCGAGAAGCGCGATGATTATTACCGCCATTGCACCAAATACAGTAGTTTACTATGTATTGGCTTCACGTATTCATGACTGTCCCTCCATGGCAAACACCTCAGTCCTCAGTCTTCAGCTCTGCCAGACTGCACTCGCCACTTGCTTCAGTGCTTTGCCCATCAACTGCTACCTGAGCATCTCGAGCGTAATTTTTCTAGTGCCCAGCCAATCCCGTCCCAAGGGAAATCATCAGGATCTGAGTGGACCACATTGTGCTTTGAAGCCATCCATGGGAAAATCCCGAAATCCATTGGCCAGCGACGTCGCGCCCCTGGCTGGAAAAGGCGAGTGGGGTTGTAAACTCGAGTAATCTTCCGGCTGCTGATGGTAATTTCACGTCGATTCAGCGGTATTTCGCAATGATACGCGCAGCCGGGCGATGCCATTGGCCGCATGCCCGTCCGCTTTGTGTGCAATACCGTCTGTCCGTGACACCCGTACCGAGATGGTCCCTTTTCCCCCTTCGCCCAACCAAACCAAGAGTCAACTCCCCAGCCCAGAGCCATGTTGATCGCCCTCCACTTGCTTCAATCTTGTTTCTTCTTCTTCTTCCTCGCTCCCTCGTCGCTCACTCTCTCTCTCTGTCTCTCTCTTCGCTCTCTCTCTCTCTCTCTTTTCCCTGCAAAAGAGTTTCACTGTCCATCCCTTCCCTCACCATTCTTTTAGGGAAGCTGGAGTGTTGGGGCCTCCTGTTGCTGTGTGTTTGATTGTGCCTGCCAGAATCCAGGTTCAACGTCCTCTCGTTGCCAACCACACACTCGCCATTGTACACGCATGCACATCGAATATCCTCCCCATCCCCCTTTCGCTCGTTTTCACCACCATTTCTACTCGACGGTCTTGCCATCCGCCTGGTTCCTATCCTTATCGGTTTCCTGGAGGGTTCGTGGCGACTCTCAGGGCTGTTGGTACGGATAATACCACGGCACGCTCCCGTTCCAATCGATTCGATTACCAGTAATCTTGTACGCGGTCATTTGACTCGATGCAATCTCACCGCGTCGTTCCTGTTCGCTGACAAACTCGTCTAGAATATAGCCCCGTCTCCCGTTGACAATTCGCTAAATGAGGTATGTCCTTCCCAGCCCGTCTTAATAGAGTGGGAAATTGATAACCTGTATTCATAGAATTATCGTTTGACCGTAACCTATCATGGCGGCGTATCCACAAGGACCTGGCGGCGGCGGCGGTGGCCAGGATCAATACCATGATGACTACAGTCAAGCCCATGGCGATGCCTACTACCAGGACCAAGGGTATTACGACCAAAACGATTATTCCCAGCATGGAGACAGCTACTACGATAGAAAGTAAGCTCCCATTATTCTCCTCTACCACTTTCTCCCCCGGGCTAATCCATTGGTCGGAATTAGTGGCTACGACCCCAACCAGCACAACTCGCAGGACGGTTACTATGATAACCAATATGGCTATCAAGACGAGTACTACAACGACCAGTACTATGATCAAGGATCTGGCTCAACCCAGTGGCAAGGATATGCAGCTGGACCCCGTCGTGGTGACTCTGAGGAGGATTCTGAAACTTTCAGTGACTTTACGATGAAGTCTGAGACTGCTCGCGCTGCAGATATGGACTATTATGGCCGTGGCGATGAACGATACAACAGCTATAGCGATAGCCAGATGGGTGGCAGAGGCTACAGGCCACCATCCTCTCAGATTTCTTATGGCAGGTCCTCTGGCGCATCGACTCCGGTCTACGGGGATTACAGCAACGCTCTCCCTCCTGGGCAGCGATCCCGTGAACCGTACCCTGCATGGGCGTCGGATGCTCAGATTCCCGTTTCAAAGGAAGAGATCGAGGACATCTTTTTGGATTTGGTCAACAAGTTCGGTTTCCAACGTGATAGCATGCGGAACATGTATGACCACTTCATGACACTGCTTGACTCCCGCGCTTCGCGAATGACACCAAATCAAGCCCTGCTTTCCTTGCACGCGGACTACATTGGCGGGGATAATGCCAACTATCGACGATGGTATTTTGCTGCTCATTTAGATCTGGATGATGCCGTTGGCTTTGCAAACATGAAACTTGGGAAAAGCCAGCCGCAAAACACGCAAGGCCCGTAAAGCTGCAAAAAACGGCACAAGGGGATCCCAATAATGAAGAACAAGCGCTGGAGTCGTTGGAAGGCGACACAGTTTGGGAAGCAGCCGAATATAGATGGGAAGACTCGTATGAATCGCATGTCTCAGCATGATCGAGCCCGACAGATCGCCCCTGTACTTGCTCTGCTGAGGCGAGGCTAACCAGGTCCGATTTATGCCGGAGTGTCTATGCTTTATCTTCAAATGCGCCGACGACTACCTTCGCTCCCCTGAATGTCAAAACCGTGTTGAGCCTGTTCCAGAGTTCACATACCTGAATGAAATCATCACCCCCCTCTACCAATATTGCCGCGATCAAGGTTATGAAATCATGGATGGGAAGTATGTCCGTCGCGAGCGCGATCACAACCAAATCATTGGATATGACGATATCAACCAACTCTTTTGGTACCCCGAAGGTATCGAGCGCATTGTTCTTGAAGATAAAACAAGATTGGTGGATGTCGCGCCCGCAGACCGTTATTCGAAACTCAAGGATGTGAACTGGAAGAAGGTATTTTTCAAGACATACAAGGAAACTAGGTCTTGGTTTCACATGCTTGTCAACTTCAACCGTATCTGGGTTTTGCACGTCGGTGGTTTCTGGTTCTACACGGCCCCGAATTCTAAGACGCTTTATACCCGAAACTATGAACAACGAAAGGATACCCAACCAACGAAAGCTGCGACCCTTTCAGCGACCGCTCTTGGTGGCGCAATTGTGTCTCTGATTATGATTGGAGCAACACTCGCTGAATGGGCATACGTACCGAGACGGTGGGCTGGTGCCCAGCACTTGACCAAGCGCCTACTGTTCCTAATTGTCGTTTTCGCGATAAATCTGGGGCCGAGCGTCTATGTCTTTTTCATCAACCAGGATGACAAGATTGCTCTCGTTCTAAGTATTGTGCAATTGATCATCGCGCTGATAACCTATCTCTTCTTCGCGATTATGCCAATCGGTGGTCTTTTTGGAAGCTACTTGACTAAGAATTCCCGCCAATATGTTGCTAGTCAGACCTTCACGGCCAGCTTCCCTCGTCTTCGTGGAAACGATATGTGGATGTCCTACGGTCTTTGGGTTTGTGTTTTTACCGCTAAATTTTCCGAGTCTTATTTCTTCTTGACGCTTTCGATCAAGGACCCAATCCGCATTCTGTCGACTATGAAAATTCACAGGTGTGCCGGTGATAAAATAATCGGTGATGTTCTCTGCAAACGGCAGCCTCAGATTCTGTTGGGATTGATGTTCTTCACGGATTTGGTTCTCTTTTTCTTAGATACCTATCTGTGGTACATCATTTCGAACACTCTGTTCTCCGTGGCACGTTCTTTCTATCTCGGCGTGTCGATTTGGACTCCGTGGCGAAATATCTTTTCTCGACTGCCGAAGCGCATCTATTCCAAAGTTCTCGCAACTACCGATATGGAAATTAAGTATAAACCAAAGGTTCTCATTTCCCAGATCTGGAATGCTGTCGTTATATCGATGTACCGTGAGCATTTATTGGCAATCGACCATGTCCAAAAGCTACTCTATCATCAAGTCCCATCCGAGCAGGAAGGAAAGCGGACTCTTCGGGCCCCAACGTTCTTCGTCTCCCAGGAGGATCATTCGTTTAAGACGGAATTCTTCCCATCTCAAAGTGAAGCAGAGCGTCGTATCTCTTTTTTCGCACAGTCGCTTTCTACCCCGATTCCAGAGCCGGTTCCCGTGGACAACATGCCGACTTTTACAGTCCTAATTCCGCATTACAGCGAAAAAATCCTTCTTTCGCTGCGTGAAATCATCCGTGAGGACGAGCCATATTCTCGCGTGACACTGTTGGAGTATCTCAAACAACTTCACCCTCACGAATGGGACTGTTTTGTCAAGGACACCAAGATTTTAGCAGATGAGACCTCCCAATTCAACGGGGAATTTGAGAAGAGCGAAAAGGACGCAGCCAAGAGCAAGATTGACGACCTACCATTTTACTGCATTGGTTTCAAATCAGCAGCCCCAGAGTATACTCTCCGTACTCGCATCTGGGCATCCCTGCGCTCTCAGACCCTGTACCGTACCATTTCTGGCTTCATGAATTACAGTCGTGCGATTAAATTGCTCTACCGCGTGGAAAACCCCGAAGTTGTTCAGATGTTTGGTGGCAATTCCGAAAAGCTCGAGCGTGAACTGGAACGAATGGCTCGACGGAAATTCAAGATCTGTGTTTCTATGCAAAGATATGCGAAATTCAGCAAAGAAGAACGTGAAAACACTGAGTTCTTACTTCGTGCTTACCCTGATCTCCAGATTGCATATTTGGATGAAGAACCACCCGTTAATGAGGGCGAAGAACCACGTTTGTATTCAGCACTCATCGATGGACACTCGGAAATCATGGAAAACGGACTCCGCCGACCTAAATTCCGGGTACAGCTTTCTGGCAATCCCATCCTTGGAGATGGTAAATCTGATAACCAGAACCATGCCATTATCTTTTACCGAGGTGAATACATCCAACTTATTGATGCGAATCAGGACAATTATTTGGAAGAATGCTTGAAAATCAGGAGTGTTTTGGCTGAGTTCGAAGAGATGACCACCGACAACGTTTCTCCCTATACCCCTGGCTTGCCTCCAACCCAATCTAATCCCGTGGCTATTCTTGGAGCTCGTGAATATATCTTTTCCGAGAATATCGGTATCCTTGGTGACGTGGCTGCCGGCAAAGAACAAACGTTCGGTACATTATTTGCCCGTACTCTGGCTCAGATCGGCGGTAAACTGCATTACGGACATCCCGACTTTTTGAACGGTATTTTCATGACAACTCGCGGTGGTGTTTCCAAAGCCCAAAAAGGTTTACATCTCAACGAAGATATTTACGCCGGTATGAACGCTCTACTTCGTGGTGGCCGTATCAAGCATTGCGAATACTACCAGTGTGGTAAAGGTCGTGATCTTGGCTTCGGATCAATTCTCAACTTTACGACAAAGATTGGTACTGGTATGGGAGAACAGATGTTGTCGCGAGAATATTATTACATGGGTACTCAGCTTCCTCTCGACCGGTTCTTTTCGTTCTTCTACGCGCACCCTGGGTTTCATATCAACAATATCTTCATCATGCTTTCAGTCCAAATGTTCATGATCTGTTTGATCAACTTGGGAGCTTTGAAGCATGAAACAATTCCGTGCAAGTACAAAAAGGGTGTACCGATTACCGATGCCTTGAAGCCGACTGGTTGTGCTGACATTAATCCGATCCGTGACTGGGTTGAGCGTTGCATGTTCTCCATTTGCATCGTCTTCTTGATATCCTTCGTTCCGCTTGTCGTCCAGGAGTTGACCGAGAGAGGATGTTGGCGAGCTGCGACCCGTTTGGCAAAACATTTCGGCTCATTTTCTCCCCTTTTTGAAGTCTTTGTTTGTCACATTTACGCCAACTCACTCCACAATAACTTGTCGTTCGGTGGTGCTAGATACATTGGTACTGAGAGAGGATTCGCAACGGCTCGCATTCCGTTCGGAGTCTTGTATTCGCGCTTTGCAGGTCCTTCGATATACCTCGGTGCAGATCCTAATGATGCTGTTATTCGCACTTCACGTCTGGCGCATGCTTTGTACTTCTGGCATCCTTGACTTGCATCTCTCGTCTTCATCTCACAGTCGCTGACGACTCTCATCGATACGCGACTATCTACGATGCTCTCTCGAGGTAACTCACGTTCACACGCCTCATCCAGGAGCGCGTTCTGCCGATTGTCGCGTACTCGAATCACAGGTTACAAGCGCAAAGTACTCGGGACACCTTCGGAGAAGCTTTCTGGCGATGCACCGAGAGCACATATCACAAACATCTTTTTTAGCGAAATCGTTGGCCCGCTGGTTCTTGTTGTCGTGACACTCATTCCGTACCTTTATATCAATGCCCAAACTGGCGTTCAGGACAACCCAGAGCGAACAAATTCGTTAATTCGTGTTGGTATTGTTGCACTGGCACCAATAGCTATTAACGCGGGTGTCCTCGCAGCGCTTTTTGGTATGGCATGCTGTATGGGTCCGGTTTTAAGCATGTGCTGCAAGAAATTCGGTTCCGTTCTCGCAGCGATTGCGCACGGTGTTGCAGTTGTTTCACTCCTGGCTTTCTTCGAGGTCATGTTTTTCCTTGAGGGATGGTCTTTCCCCCGGGCCATGGCTGGAATGGTTGCCGCCACTGCCATTCAGCGATTTGTATTCAAGTTGATTATCTCTCTGGCACTGACGAGAGAATTCCGACAAGACTCCTCTAACATTGCCTGGTGGACTGGAAAATGGTATAACATGGGATGGCATTCGATCTCGCAACCTGGTCGAGAGTTTCTCTGTAAAATCACAGAACTCGGACTGTTTGCTGCCGACTTCATACTCGGTCACATCATTCTGTTTCTGATGCTCCCTGCGTTGTGTATTCCCTATGTCGATAAAGGCCATTCAGTCATCCTATTTTGGTTGCGCCCGAGGTACGTGTTCAAGTCCAGTTGTTAGTCTCTGTGTCATACTAACATTAACCTAGCCGTCAAATTCGCCCTCCAATCTACTCACTCAAGCAGTCCAAACTTCGGAAACGGAGAGTTATCCGCTTCGCCATCCTTTACTTTGCGATGCTGATCCTTTTCGTTATTCTCATTGCTGGGCCGCTGATTGCTCGCAAGTTCCTGACTAACCTTCCCAACATCCCTCTGAACCTTCTGCAACCGATCGACCAAGACAACAACGACACTACAAACGAAGAAACAGGCTCCGGGCTTGAACCTACTGTGACGTCCGGGGCCCGGATGTTCTTCTAAGCCAGACGCCATGCGCATACGATTCCCAACGTTCTGCAAATGATTCAGTGTACAATTAGAGTGTCGATACTGGCTTTTTTAAAAATTTTCCAGGGTGCTGATATGTGTGTCTCTGAATTAAACGAACAGCACTGTCATTTCGACTGTTTTTTCTTTTCACATAATCTTTTACATTGTGTGTTGCTGGTGTTGGATGGGTTGATTATTTTGCGAGTCAGTGGCAGTGTTTTCAGGTCCATTCCTTGCCCTGTTACTTTTTCTTTCCTTTTTCAAAATTGACGTATTTTCTGTGCTGTTCAGACCATTAATGTTTCAGAAACAGCCTCTGAATGTGCATGGCCTCTGACAGGAACCTCGGGGGCATTGCGCTGTTAAGTTTCTCTTTGTATTGCAGGGTTCATAGAGGATATAATGAAATACTTATAAGGGTCTGTATCCACTCCGTATCTACCGTACAGCATTCCTCAATTACTGTTACAGTGCTGGTATATCGTGCCACCGCTTAGTCAGCCCACGTGACCGCGAGGCGATGATAGGGGAAGTTGGTTCCCTGCTTGAAACGGCTTGGAGTTCCGATCCTTGGGAAGAAGGGCAACGCCGTCTCTCAATCTCTTGCCTCAACCCTCTGTACCTTTTCCCATCCTAGATCCCTCGTTTCCCCTTCTATAGAAATGACATGATGGATCTCCAGGAAGCTCAGCGGGTGGCCCTAGCGTGTTTGCGCGAGCTGGCGAACCAATTCCACCGCGTTCCCGGCTCAGCGATCTTCTTACGCTACGTCAAGTCCAGTTACCAGAACGATCCGGTGCGGTCGGCGGTAGAGCTGTTTTTGTTTTTGTCTGCGGTGAGGTATTTGTTGGCGCCAAAGTACTCGACGAATGCCGAATTTCGTGACCCTGTCGGAGGAGGCATGTTATTATGTTCTTGTTTTTTCTTGGGGAGCTATATGAGGTTCCTTTAGGAATGAAGACTGCGGTGGGCTGACTTGATTTTGTCTTTTTTTTGCGAATTGCTCAGGAGATTGATGATTTGGATAGAGGACTGGA